TCTCGGCCAACTTTGTCAATTTGTAAACATTGCGTTTTATTTATTCTGGCGACTCCGATCGTTCTCTCGGCAAACTTCGCAGGCTACAACCGTAGATTGACCGCAGGCGCGTTTAGCGTCGAGATGATTTTTCAATCAAAGTAATTTGAGCTCAGGATCAGAAGAAGTCGCGTAAGCCGATGTTGTTGATTGGCAGCAATATTAACATTTAATGTTATTAACGGATACAAGTTTACGGATCGCGCACAGTATCCAGAGTATTTGCACGCAAATCACCGCAAGACCTAAATTTCACTCGGGCGACCATCGATCAGGATGTCACTCCGGACTTGTATAATCTGAAGTAAAATCAAGTCGACGGTAAATTTAACCGTAAGCGAGAGCAAGTAGCATCTGCGGAAGTTCGAGATTCTGATTTGAATTTCTAGCGTCAAATTCGTCGAAATTATATCAGGGCTTCCCGAAAAATTCTTCTCGTTTCTATTATAAAACTTTGCACGAAAATAATAAAATAAGTTCGATCTTGGTCTTCTCGATGAAGGTTGATGCACACAATAAAGAAATGTCGTTAACTAACCTGGAATTTAAATTAATTCTGGATTAAAATGAAGAACCCGTACTGTAACCACGGAAATTAAAGGCATTGAAATACGAAAAGACATCCTTTCCGCTATCTCTAATATTTACCTGTACCCACGGTTCAACATGTCGTCGCTTCTTCCGGAGAATGCCGCCTCTCCCAGAGTATACAAACTTAAAGTGATATCAGTTGCTCATTAATTAATTAATTCTCAGGTTCGCACGTTACGTGTTACATTTGCTGCCACGAGCAGAACGCCCTTATTGCGACTCTCAGACCGAGATAACGCCGGCCGGGATTTTCAGGTGAGACGGAGAGTTCGCGGACTCAGTCGGTCGTGAGAGTGCAATCCCGTGTCATCGGGTGTGTGTGTGTGTGTGTGTGGTGTCACGTGAGCCTGCCATTATCAAAAAGCCGCGGCCGATGAATTCGCTCGACGCACGGGGAATCGCCGTCGGCTCTTCCCGCGGGAAGAGACGCGACCGTCTCTCCTCCTCGGGATTCGGGTCGACTTCTCGCGCGCGCGTTCGGCCGTGCACTCGGTGACGAAACCGACACGGTCTCTGCCCTGGGCCGCGGTGATGGTGTAGTACAAGCGGTGCCAAGAATAAAGGAGAGACACGTGGCATGGCATCCCGCCGGCTCGCCAACGGCATCGCCAGCGAGAGCGAATTGCAGAAGGAAGCGGACAGTCTTAAAGCGTGAACGTTAAGCGAGTTCTCCTCGGCGTATCGCGGTATCGCTTCAGTCGCGCGTAAGCGAGCGAGCGTAGCACGTGTTCGACGAACCGACGACCACGGCGATCGACGACGCCATCCATGGGTTACCAGTACCCGAGTTTCTCTCTGTGGATAAGCTGAAACCGAATCGACTGCGACGAGGTATGCGACAAAGTGCGCGCGCGCGCGCGCCCGGGTCGATTTTATTAATATGCATTTTTTTTAATGTGCATTTTTTTCCGTTTTCTGCGAATACGGAGAAAACGTCGCGTCGCGTCGCGTGTCCTCGAGCGCTCGCCGACGCGACGCGGCCGTTCTCGCAGGCCTTCACGCTCGACCTTCCCTCGACGTCCTGTACGCCGCGGAATCGATAATTCGTGATTTGCAATCGATTTGCCATCCGGCGGTCTACTCTCGCGATCGGAAAGAGTGCGAAAAGCCGTACGCGCTCGCGTTCGCCTTGCTGCTCGCCTTGGGGTCGCCTTGGGGCTCGCCTTCGAGTGGACCTCGACGAGAGCGCCGACGTGAGCGAAATTTTGATGGGCGAACGCAGCAGTCGGTGAAAAATGAATTCTGACGCGTAATGCTGACGCGTGCAAATTTCGCGGAGGACACGGCGCTGCGTCAAAGTTAGGGAACAACAAAGCTGTTGAATTCGCACACGCAGCTTGTGAGCTCTCCTCATCGGCGGACAGCATTGCGGCGCGACGCTCTCAGAGGCGAGGTTTTCAGCCAGGAGAATGCCGAGGTCGCGATAGTTTTTCGGTCCTAAAGCGACCAAACCTGGTCAGTGACATCACGTGGATTTTGCGCGCTCAGGCCCGTAACTATGCGTTGGCGTCGGCGTCGGTCTATATCTATCTGATCGCTGTTGATTTTGGCGAGTCGCGGGAGACGCCGATTTTTGCGGGCCGGCCAGCAACTCGATCGCGTCCGCGGCGCCGTTTCCTCCTACGTGCGGCGCGCGACAATTTTCGTGTGTTGCCCCCGAAGCGAAAACAGAATCGCGCCGATGTGTGTGTGTGTGTGTGTGTGTGTGTGTGTGTGTGTGTGTATTTGCGGGAGCGACGCGCGTTTGCGAAATTCACGCGCGTCGCTTTGTATAAACTGCCGTGTTTTGATACAAACAAACACACGATATAGAAAGCTGGAAAACATGATAAGAGGCGCGGGTTTAACGGGCGACATTTGACAAAACTCGGAACAATCAACTCGCGCACGCCGAGAGTTTATCTATCGGTATAGCGCGTGTACGCCGTGTTATCAGCGAGCAGGTTCGTGACACGTTATCTTGACAGTTCGTGACATTACATCATAAAATTCGAGTGCGAGGATTGCCTTATCCCGCCGGTGTGTCACAGGGGGGATTTGCAGGACTTTCGTTTTGTTTGCGAGATTGTCGGAAATCGGAGCTCTCGTGCCTGAGTTAGAAATCACCACGGGGAAATTATTCACTCTCGCCCCGGGTCGGCTCTCCTCGCCGTCTACGGTTCTTATCGCCTCGCGTCTCGTCTCGGCGAGGTTTTCGCGTGTTTTATGCCTGCCGGCGGCAATGCGTTTCGGCAAAGTTACGATCGACTCGTTTGTCGATCTCAAGTATGCGCGACTCGCGCGGCTCGCCGAGAGAAGCGCGCGTTACATCTCACGATAATATTTGCCCTACCTCGTTTTTATGCAGATAAGTTTTTTGCGCGTGCACAAACACAGTGGCGACGAGAGCGGCTGAGGCAGCAGGAAGAGACGCAAGATTCCTTCCTGTCCGCGAAACGTCCTCCTCGTCTCTCCCCTCTGACGTGTTCCGCCGCGCGAGTTCCCGGTCGGAATCGTAACGTCGATTCGACATTGATTCGACGTTGGAATGGCCGATGAACCGTTGAATCAACGTTAACGCAAGTCTCATCGACGTCGAGTCAACGTTGCGGTTTTCCGCGCCCATCGAAGGAACAACGCATTAGGTCCTATAGGTCCGTCGAAATAATATTGTTTACCGGCCCGATGTATAAAAGCGCATTTTTCGTTTGCATCTCGCGAGCCGAGGCTCGGCGCTCGCCAATTGCACATTTCGCGTGAAAGTCAAGAATTCCACGCTGGTGGAAGGCGAAGGAAGTTGTCCTTTGGCGCGCGAGAGGTACCGGCTCTCGGGGACATCATACGCCTATCACGTGATACAATTACAAACTCTGCCGTTCATTATGGCTCTGTGGATGTCGATACACGAGGAAAAAGTAAGTTTCCTCGTACGCACGAGCGCCGGTCTCTCAAGGATAGCGCGAATGCCGTACGCGCCGCCGCGTCGCTCCGTTTCGTCGCTCCCGGCGAATAATGAGAATCAGGAACAATGAAGGAAATTTCCACCGAACGGCAGGATTCGGGCACGTTTCCGCGTTCTCGCTGCTCTACCCGCGGGGAACAGCGCGAAGAAACGCATTTCTCTCTCTCTCTCTCTCTCTCTCTCTCTCTCTCTCTCTCTCTCTCTCTCGTCTATTTATACTTGCACAAGCGTGCATTCGATAGCGACTATCGCCCGCGCTGTCGAACCTGCACTTTCGCATGTATCTCGCGATTCAGATAACGATAACGAAGTATACGGAGGATGTCGGTTTATCGTATGATGACACTGCGCCATGATTACTGTGTATGCACATGTTGCCGCGGTTTTGTCGTCAGCTCGTCCTTTATGCGCGGAGTGTCTCGAAAACGGCGCGCATTATCGTGGAGATGCGGCATGAGTCGAGTTTAGCCCTTTAACGCCTACTGGTAACTATAATTACCAGAAACGCATTTAAGAATCCATGACCTAGTCAAAAAAGGAGATATTTTCGTTTTCTTTGCACCTGCACTGTAAAGGTGAATTCTTCTTCTAAAAAATGGTATATAGATTGTATGTAGATTCGGTTTAGTCTGTTTTCAGCTCAGTTTTAATGATAACACGTTTTGTCAACTTCCAAGTAGGCATAGTTAGCATTGTTACTGACATCTAGAAGTGCACTGTAAATGAATAGATTGGTATCTGTTATAATTTTATACATTTGGAAGCTTTCTCAAATGCAAAATGTGAAATTAAAAGAATACAGAAATTCAAAATGGTGAATCCAATATGATGGACACGAAAATCAAGAAATCACGCTATTTTCGTGAAACCTGGTGATCTACAGTTTTTTATGCGGCGAAAAATGAAGGGACGATTGACTATCTAAATGGTGATCTATATAAGATATTCTTCTGAAATAGTAAGCTTGACGCTCTGAATGATAAACTTCACTCACAAATATAGTAAAGTTTCAGCTCAAAAATGTCAAGCTGACTATCAGATCGTATAGATTACCCTTTATTTTTCTCTATATAGGTTGTTCATTTCATATATGCTTTTAGGATCTAAGTCATATTTACCAATAAACAAAAAACGAACGATAAAAAAATCAAACTAACGAAATCAACAAACGAAAAGCGGAAACTTCATGTACTCATTTATTATATTCCATTCCGGGTAAATAAAGATCAAGTTCTGAATATGAGTTTTATGCTTCGAGGAATTTTTTCAACCATTAGGTATGATAAATTATTAAAACTAAAAAAAAAATTTTACCGATCAGACATATTTTTCGCTTCTAGGAATAGTTTCTGCTTGGAAAGGTAGTTTTTCGTAGATATAAAATTCTGATATTTTTTTTGGTTATCACTATTTATAGTCTCAGTTCAAAAAAACTCAAATTTTATTCTTAAGACACCTATAAAAATGTCGGGCGTTAAAGAGTTAAAAAAAACGTCCGCCATTTTTCAACGTCGGCGCAGCGACGTGTCGCAAGGACGCGCAAGAAGTCACGAAGGTAACGCGATTTTTTTTGTGCATCGGCTCTCCGAAAGCGAAATGTCCTCAGAATATTTCGGTCCGTAAAAAAAAGAGAAGAAAAAAGAAATAAGGAGAAGAGAAACGAACGCTCGAGTGTCGGAAGCCGCAGTTCTGACGTGACGCAAAAATGGCGCAAAAATTTCACTCAGCACATCCGACTTCCCCGCGAAATTTCTTTTCCATGATAAAAAAATCTCTGTTCGTGCAGATGGACGAAAATTCGTTGACGGGAAACGACGTCTCTGTCGACGTGACCGGAAAAAATTCTTCTGAACATTCAGCCGCATTGAAATTTCATCGGGATAACTGAGAACAATTGACTGATGAGAAACTTCCATGCGACGCGGGAATCTCTTTTTGTGAATTAAATTTTGCAATTTGCGATTAAATTTTCGTTTGCTCTCCGTTCTCCCCGGACACTCGAAAAATTGAGTTACGTTAACGGAGTTATCATCTTCGCGCGCGCGCGTGTTTACATTTTCATATGTCGTTTTAATTAATTACCATATTGCTTAATTGAACTCAAATGAATTCGATTACACTCGCTTACTACGGCTCCGATATCGCATTTTTTAATTGCCCGCGTTCGATAAATCGCGACGAGCGTCGGCCGACGGGAAAGCGATTAAATTTTTCTTCCATCTGCGCGCTCTTTCTCAAAATTATCTCTCCCCCCTCGCTCCCCCGCCGTTCCTCGATCGTTTGCGAAAACAGGAATGTCGCGGGCATTATTGGCGCTTTGACGCAATTGTGCCTTGCGTCTGATAAAAGTACACGTGACCGGCTCGAGAAGCAGCGGACACGCTTCTATTTTGGTGGTGTCGCCGGCAGAGCGGTGACACTGCCAAAAGTGAATCGGTGTCGGTCAAAGCAGACGCTGCACTTCTTCGTGAAACACGTGACAGTGACTTCGACGGCTGCCTTGGAGAGCTCCAACGGCTTTTGCTTGGTGCCGTTCGCGTCGGTATCAGGATCGCGCCGAACGATTGTGAGTCTCCCCTGTGACGACTGTAATTAACGTGAATTAACGAAAAATTGCCGGCAAGTTCGAGCGTACGTCAAAGAAAAATAGTATTCACTAAAATCCCTAAAATTGAAGTTACATTTTCGGCCACAACTCGCTGCTCTAACGAAAAAAAGAACAGCGGAAGCAGCGAAAATAGTAGCGATCGCATGCAAGGCTGTTGTTCGCAACATTGTAGTAGTAGCACGTGTTACTACGAGAATAGCTTTCTTGCAAAAACTAAATTTTTTTTTTTCGCAGTGCAGTCGGCGTATCGAGCCGAATGCAAATCTCGATCAGCTGATGTCTGTCGTCAAACGTGAACTTGACGTTGACTTCGTATCGCGACGACTTCGAGCGAGGCCGCGTGCCTGTTAAATGGCTATTGTCCGAATTCATATTTCGAGCGATTGAACGTTATCGTTCCGACGCTCGACGCTACTTTGCTTTGTTACGACCGAGACAGATCAGTCGGCGCTTACGACACGGCAAAGAGAAAGAAAGGAAATAGATTGCCGACGAGTCGCGAGAGAGCAATTACTGCGATTGCGTTAAGTCGATTAACTGGATAAACACGCGTTGTCATCGACATGCTTATCATGCGATTATGTACGATCGAGTTACGAGACAAATTTTCGATCGTCACGTGGCGGTCCCTTCGCGGCGTTGTCGCAATTGTTGCTTCCACGAAGTCGATCTTTCGATTTGGGGAACGAAATTACGCTTTTGTCGCCGGCCGGGCGTGTTTTGTAATTAAACGGACACGTTGATTTATCGTGCCGAACATTACGCGTGTGACGCAAATGTCATTCCTCGACGTATAATTTAATCTTTGTGGAAGCACTCGATGCATCGCACTGTTGCGATCTGTTGTCCGTCCCCGCGCGGCGCAATTGGAACCGCTAACGCATTACAAAATATTAACTGGCTCAAGTACACAATAAACACAGAGTCACAGTTCCGAGAAGAATAAACGGTCTATTAACTCTCAGAGAAATTGTGTTGCACGCGTCGTGGAGCGGTTTTTCTCCTCTCGCGGTCGCGCAGTTGAACCTTTTTCCTGCGCGCGCGAATCGCAGCTAGTTGATCGTGAAAAATCTTCGCGGAGAGGTGAATCATTCCGCGAACGCACGCAAAATCAAATCGGCCGTTTGGGTAATAATCGTGGAAATTTGTCGCATACGAACGCAGTAGCATCGCGACGTCTCGAAGATATCGTCTGGCTGAGGCGTCTGCATTATGCATTAAGTGGCTTTCGTGTGTATACACACGCGGTTGTGTGTGCGCGTGTACATACGGCTGTATTTTATCTTCTATCGCACTCACACACACTCGCAGCGCAATTTGCAGTCTACATTTGTGTCACTGCTTTGAGATATTTTTATCCACCTTTTTCTACAATTTTCTTCTTTTATGCACGCTAAATTATTATTAAATTATTATTATAAATTATTATTAATAGCCTAGTATTCGTAGTACGATTCTTCAATTTAATTTCGCGTGGCTACTGTGTGTGTGTGTGTGTGTGTATATGTATGCACTCGTTCGCATTTTCATTTGTGACGTATTTGAAAAATATTCGCAGCGCGACCTTTGCGATCCATCTTGTCGCTCTTGCGGTGAGAACTTTTATTTGCTCTCTAGAACTTCGCGGAGTTCTAAAGAGCAAATAAAAATGGAGTCTTACGTGACACTTTTGATCGCTAATTTTCTGTCTTTCGTGAGGCACGCTGCTCACACTAATTATCCGTTCAACTAACGATAAACTATCTCGAAGAATGGAACTTCAATCCGGTTCGAGGACGCGATCTGTTGACACGAGGAGCGATGATAGCCTCCGTACAAAAGCGCGTTATCTAACGCAGATGGCATTTTTTCCTACACTTTTGCGACGACATTCCAGCGGGCCGTTTCATTGTCAGTCGATAATGACGCGGCACAATCGTAATCGGCGAGAATTGACAGAATCGCGAGTTATTTCTGTCGGTATTGAATAACATTCGTTATGTAAGTTTCGCAACGGCGAAATAACGTCGGTGATATCTGTAAATTTTGCATTTTGCTTGCGCTTATCTTTTCTTGCTGGTACCTATCGTCCACAATAGCCGCGTAATTAAGGTTGCCTGCAACTAACTAGTACCGTCCGCGACCGATCGAGTGCTGTCTGATGACTGCGTTTTGCGATATATTTTACCTTGTGATTCCTTGAACAATCAGTTGATCAATAGCTGTCCGACCAATTACACATGGTAATCACAGGACGTTTGTACGTCGCGAGTGTCGAGTTGCGTTTTGCGTTTTGTTCCACCGACGCTCCTCGAAAGAACACATGATAAGATATATTTCGCGTCTCTCGCGATCGTAACCTGAAGGATATCTTGATTAGGTCATCCGTTTAAATCCACTAAAAGTAAGTGGCGCAGGAAGTGATTACCGCCGCGTTTTGCATGACAATTAATTTATAAGGTCGTCCCTTTTTATGCTACTCATGGAAGCGCCACCCGGCAAGATTGTGCTCTTCCGCGTTACGAAATTCATTCGCCCGATCTCTCCTGCTCGCCCACTCGGTGTTAATTTTGATATCTTGTTGTCACAATTCCAGACGGCATTCACGGCACGTCATCGAATGAGGTAACGAGAAAAGCGTCAAAATCAACACCGACAGTATCGTCGACATCTCCGCGATACCGATTTTCGTATATCGATCGAGTAAATCAAATAACTTCTTAAGACAGCGTGTATGCGCTGAACCTTCGTCGCCTCGCCCTTATCTTTCCATGTTATGTCATGTTCAGCTGGGGCGCGCGTTGAAGATTAGATATGACAAAGGTTTCTTCCACTTATGCTCTTAAAATTTCCCATGCTGAGACATGCGCGTCCTCTTATCGTAAGGACAGACGGAGTAGGAAAACTACCGCGAGCACGGTTTAATGGAAAGTTTTTATTGAATTACATAAAGCTCGTGCCGTAATCGCGTGCGAATCGGCGACGAACGGCGGAAAACTTGATTAAAGAGCGATATTCGGCCGAGAGTATTTCGATGATAAGGCTAATTCACTCGCCACGATTACGATCCGACAGCTGCGACATGTATTAAACGACCAAGTGGCAGGGAAGGAATGAAACAATAATCGCGATAGCTTGTGCAAAGTGCACGAGCGTGACAGTGTTGACAGGTTAGAGAATCGGGCTGCAGATAATCAGAATTGGGAAGTAACTCGTTACTTGTAACGAAGTTACAGTTACAGTTATTTCTTTTTCTTTTGCGCCTTTAACTATAACTTAACTTCGTTCCGTTTTTTCCATCTATAACTGTAACTTAACTTAGTCACATTTGTTTGATAATTAGTAGCTAATTTAATAGTTGCTTTAATAGTTATTTTGTATGTTTGAAACTTAAGTTTCTGGCAGATCAGCACGATAATGTGACGCTTGATATCCGATAAGCATACAATTATTCTAGTTGCATGTGGAAAACGCGCCACTGCGCCATCTATCTTTATCGTTTATTAGATATAAAACAAGAATAAAACGGCGCAATAAGAATAAAAGCACTGATAGTCTTCTCTCTGAATGCAACCTGTCTTTCAAAAAAATTGTACGCCTATTGGATATTTCTGTCACGCGTCGTCAATCCTTATTTGTTAACATAACTTGAGTTCAGCGTGAAGTGCGTTGCGTAGTTTCAATTGTATAAAAATTCAAGTGATAGATAAAATATCCCAATTTTCGGAAAAGGATTGTAAAATGCTACGGCCAGCATATGCAAAAATATTTGAGTTATAGTAAAAACTTGGAAACGAGAACAACTAGGCAAAATTTACGCTGGCAAAAAAATTATTTATGCAAGTAGAACTTCAACTGCAAATTTAAGAAAACATATGAGGGTAAGTCTTTATTTATAAAATATTAATACATTTTTTATTAAAAAATTTTATTTTTGATATTAAAGGGATCCTGGAGTCGCGTCGCTCTAGGATCCTCTTAAGAGCATGTTTAGTATTTTTAGTATTTATTATTTTCATCAAATTCATTCACCTTCTTATAATTGTTATTAATAGTCTTAAAGAATAAATATGAATTGCTAATGTAAATTAATGAGTCTAATTTGTAAAAATTATATGTAATATGAGGAATATAATAATCAACAAACTACTTTTATATAAAATTGAAGGAATTTACACAATTACGAAATTTGAAATAATAGCACAATTATTGTAAAAAAGTAACTGAAAAGTAACGACTCGTTATTTTCTAAATAACTATAACTATAATATGTTACTTTTGAAGATCGGTAACTTGTAACTGTAACTAGTTACTTTTTCAGCGAAAAAAGCTATAATTATAATTAAATAATTTTACAAAGTGACTTCCCCAACCCTGCAAATAATTTATATAATAACTTAATGATGTAGCAAGTATATCCAAGTTTTTATATAATTTTTATTTTACAATTGCTTTACATGTGCGCGAACGCGCTTCCTCCGTGTATTTATTTGTTACTTCAATGCGACGCTCTTTCTTTTCTTCCACCGCAAGATTAAATACGTTACACGCTACAACACGGTTTCATTAAGAAGCCAATCGGTCGAAAGACTACGTATAAAGCAACTCGCGTGCTCAATTGATGACGGTTTTGCTCTCGCACAACGGAGCCAATCGTTTTCATCCACTCGAAGGGCACCGTGCCGGCGTCTTTGAAAGTTTCTCCTTGTCGTCCTTCGTGTAATGATATTATTGCGATCTTAACGCGATTAATAACAGCTGGGGATTGAGCGGATATCCATCATTACGTTCATAAATGAGTCGAGACACAAACGATTAATAGAAAACTTTGTTGGAGGATACGCGTTGTTCCGCAAAATGACGCTCTGAAATTTGAGAAACGGGAAAACAATTTTCTGAAAAGTCACGAGTTGTTTCTCAATTTTCAAATTCCCGGATTCGGATTCTTCGGGACAAGGCGTGCCCACGGTTTCATCGAACACTTTGTTAATTATGAAAGTATATCTGATTGTTAAATTTATTAAATTAGTATATAAAAATATACTAAAAAAAAAAAGATATAAAAAGTTACAGTAAAAGTACAAAAGTGTCGATTGTGAAATGACACCAAAGTAAAAGTATTTAAGAGCGAGGCCCTCTTCGGCGCGCGTTTCGATGCTGTCGTGATTGCCCGGCGGACGAGGAAGACGACGTGTCGTCGGTGACGATGCTCTAAGCGCAAATATGCAGGATATGTCTCTTGAGCTCAGATTGATGTTTCGCGTGCTCTCGCTCGCCGAGCGATTATAGGTACTTCATTCATCTTGTCACGCGATGTGTCTGGTCTCGTTTGAACAAAAGACCCGACGTCGATGATGAACGCCGTGACGCCCAATAGCGCGCGTGTCATTACGAAACACGCGCGTCAGAGGGAACGGGAATAGTGCCGAGGGTGAGAATGAGAGAGTTTCGAATCTCTCGGGCATCGAGACGCGCGCGTCACACACGCGTATTTCGGTATGGGTCGCGACACGTTCGCCTTAATCGAGATGCGCCTCGACTGTCATCCTTGCAATATGTTACAGATGGAACTGAACAGCTGCCCGATCGCGACTTCGCCAAAGAATTCCGTCCACGGCGATGAGACCGCTTTCAAGCAGCCGCTCGGGTGAGTTTATCTCTCGGCGTGTAGATCAGCCGCCGATCGTTGTTCTGATAATTCGATGTGTATCAGGCATTGTTCGAATATTTTTATCTCATTCGAGTGTTTATTAATTCTTCGATCTCATTTAATCACGACTCGCTATTGAGACCCGGAATCTCGGTATGCCGTATCTCTTTCTTATCCTATCGTAATTGATAGAACCGCGCAAATTGGCAAGATAAAATCGCAAAATCGCATTTTTAAGATCACGATGAGATTGCCCGGTTGAAGAATGAATTCAATGCATAATAAAAGTTGTCGAGCACGGATTACTTTATAACGAGTGCGTCGCACAGTCTTGATCCTGCTTAAGTGCGCCACTGCGATTAATTACCTCGTTGTGGCATTTCGCACACGTGAGCGCGTGTGTATACACACGCGCTCGCGCGCGCGTGTGCGTGTGTGTGAGAGGGGGGAGGTATGTTGTTGTTTAACTTAATAACTCATTGAGTTATCTGATTATGCGGCTGATTGTAGACACAATCTACGTTACGCGACTTGCGATAAGCGACCTCAATAATAAGTTCTAGTGTTTTGGTAGCACTCGACCGATCATCATCATTGTTTATTGATTGAGCTGTAATTTTAATCGCTCGAGCTCCCTCCAGCTACCCGCGTCCCGATTTCGTTTCACCGATTCCTCCGATTTCTTCACTTCTGAAAAAATGATGAAACTTCGGACCGCGCGGTGTAAAGTCCCTTATAATGTGTTCGTGTTCGAGTAAAATATGTGCTAAAACCGGAAACGATCGATACATGTCACCGCGAATTCTCGCCTTGAATTTACAGACATCGGACTATTTTAAACAGCAGGACGTTGCCAAGAACGACGTATCGTTCCTATCGATACGATCGCTGCTTTGCTCTCGAGCTGCTGAAGGGATATACTCGTATCGTCCTTCGCCGTTAATTTCCTTCGTTCACACACGGCCGTGCTTATCGCAGCGCAATGTTAATTTGGTGGAAACTCAATTATCTCGCCTAACAATCGCCAAGAATGCACCTGCATATCCGGCGATTACTGCTATTTTACGCGAGATTACAATCGTGGAAATCGTCGTCATCATGGGGAATATCATTAAGTCATCGTTGTTTTAGTACCTATATGCTTTGACTTCAATATACAGCTCTAAATGGCAAAATGACAAAGTAGGTTACATTGCACGCAGTTATATCAAACTGTATGAAACTGGTTTCAGAAATGGCGGAACATACGGGGCCTTTCAGTCGAAGGACCCCATTTTGGCGATGGAGAAGGGCGACGGCTCCAAAGGCGGAGGGAGTAACGAGCACGGCATTACCGTACACCATCCCACCTCGTAAGTTAAATCAGCATCCCGTAAAAACAGAGCAACATTCTCACTGGTGACAAAATTATTTAGTGCAGAGCGCGCGCATGAAGCACTAGCGAGCGCGGCGTTCGCGGACAACGAAGAAACATTTAGAGCCGGTTTTTCAATAATGATTTGAACTTAGATCGAGATTTAAAGTCTGTTCAAAAGCATTAGACTGTTTTTCAATGGATAGATCAGAATAAAATGTAATTTAAAGTATAGTTTAACTAAACTGTGGATGATAACCGTTTAAACGTCATTTAATGGATTAATAAATGTCGTTACACACACACACACATACACACACACACACACACACACACACACACACACACACACACACAATATCTCTATTATTATAGTTAAAATCATATTGTTAAATATTTGTGAAGGTATAAAATATTTGTTACGATGTTTGACGAAGAATATTATGAAGAGAGTAGTGAAGACGAGGATATTTTAGAATATATAAAACATACCAACATGAGAAAAAATCATGTTTTAAAGCGAAGAGTAAATCATTTTGAAACTTGGGATGAAAAAAATTTCTTCAAAGATTTCGCTTATCCAAAGCTACAGTTCGTGTGTTAATAGAAAAAATTCAAGACACTGTTTAATTACCAACCGAATGGTATCAATATACATATGTCATATAAATTAAATGATACATGTAGAATATTTTTCAATTATATTAGTTTTAACTAATTAACTAGTTGTAAAATATGATGTTTACTAATATATGAATATTATATGAATAGTATAAAATTTATTTATATTGTATATTTTTTTAATTTTTTTCAGAAATCAAACTCTTTCAGTATATATTAAATGATATTATTAACATTAAGATTTTATACTAGTGGATTTTTTTTGATAAGCGGAGGAGATTTTGTTGGTGTTCATAAAAGTGCAGCAAGTAAAGTAATTAATAAAGTTTCAAGGGCAATAGCTCAACTTAGACCTGCAAATGTAAAATTTCTGAATACAGAAGATATTCAAAGCCTTCATGAAAAGTTTTACAATATTGCACGATTTCCATGTTATGTGAATGCCCTAGACTGCATTCATATTAGAATTGAATTTCTACATGTATAAAAGTGACCCGCACAGCGATGACTTGTCGTTGCCAACTTAAGAATAACAAAGGTTTATCTAAACTGTGTTTAGCATATGCTTGAAAAACACACAAGATATAAAACTAGTAGAGATGTGCGAACTATTCGAATTCGAATCCCTATGATTTAAATCCGAATAATTCGAATAGGAATCAAATACATTATCGTTTGTGTGATTCAGCTACAAAACGAGCCATCTGAGCCTGTATATTTGAACCCTTAACTTGTAATTAACTTAACTTATAATTAATAATTTAATTATAAATTACTTTAAATATTTAAATATATATTTTATTTTAAGATGATATTCCACAATATCAATATTCCCTTTCATATTAAAATCTTCCATTATTATTTGCAAGTTAAATAGTCATATTAAATTTTTTAATGATTCGATTCGATTTCACTTGATTCGATTCGAATTCGAGTGAAATTTCATAGATTCGATTTGATTTGAATTTGAATTTAAAAAATGAGATTCGATTCGATTCGATTCGACATAAAAATTCTTGATTCGCACATCTATAAAAATTAGGTTTCACGGATCAAGGAAGGATCAGATAATTTCTAGTTTAAAGCACGATTGAAAAACCAGCCCTTAATGTACACATGCCGTTTCGTAACGAGAGAACGATGTTGTATGCATTGAGCGAAAAGAAAGAAGAAAAACAAAAACAGGAAAATGATCACAAGAACGTGGATACTCAAATTCGAACGATGAGAAATATACAGCTGCTACTTTAAACAGTATCGTGAAACGTACAATTTGAACAGACGGAAGCGAGTAGTTGCCTCTCTCGCTATGATATCTTGATAAAACTATTAAATGATGTATTTCCGTTCCCGAGAACGTAACAATTTTTTCTCCGGGAAGGACCGCCTACTCGGCATTGGCGGTTTTTGCGGTCGCGCGTCGCAAAATATCCTTACACGATGTAAACGACATTTTCAAACTTCTGCTGAACGTTTTGGTGTTTATGTTTCTTCTTTTTCTTTTTCTTTTTCTTCTTCTTCTTCTTCTTCTTCTTCTTCTTCTTCTTCTTCTTCTCCTTCGTTTTCTTTCTTTGTCGTTGACGAGCGTAGTTTTGTAACGTCTGAAATTCCTCTTTGCATCTGATAATTCGCGTGTGCGCGCGCGCGCATACACATATGCTGACGCACCTTGCTATTTTTTCCGTAACACGGAATTTCGCGTCGAGCGATGAAAATAGAACGAATGCACTAATGGACGATTGGACTGCAGGTACCTGGAAACCATGATGCATCTGTTCAAGGGTAACGTCGGCTCGGGGATCTTCGCGTTAGGAGACGCTTTTAAGAACGCCGGGCTGCTGTTGGCACCTCCGCTTACGATCTTCCTCGGTATCATCTGCGTGCATGCCCAACATATCCTCGTATGTATATAATTTAGAATAATTAAAAAAAGAAAACAAATACGGAGGGAGCCTGACGATAACACATAAATCTCTCGTATAAATTAGAACAATAAAATTAAATAAAAAATTCTTCTACCATCTTGCGAACAACTGCGCAAAATTTTGAGTTATTACTTGAAGAAGATCGGCGAATGATTATGCACGATGAGCTATATTGCGATTCTCGCCGTCGTGTGCGCTTGCAGATTATTAAACTGAACAAAAAATACCATTTTGCACAAAACTATATAAATATTTAGTTACTATTATTATTTAGCTATTTCATTAATAAATCAGAAAGATTGATGGATGTTTACGTGCGATGTGCACCCCAATGTTCTTTAATGAATAATAATTTATATTAATAAATAAAAATCTACATTATTATTTGCAAAGTGATGTAGAACTTTTTGGTTTAGTTTGACCTAATTTACACACACACACACGACAGATTTACATGCGTCGTCAGACACCCTGTGTATGGATGTATATATGTGTGTGTATATATTGTACATGTAAAGTGAAGTAATAAATATTATTTTACCATTTTGAAATCTTGGAAATATAAGAGTAGAAGACTAATTAATTTATTAGAAGTTGTAAAAATAGTCATCTTATGGCGATAAGATCTCTTTTTGTGCTCTCCATCGAAGGAAATTCAATAGCGAGATATTCAGAGTGCTAGTAGTCATTGTCTCATCATTGCCTCGTGCGTGCACTTATCAATTTGCTTCCGGTTTGTCATATAAAATCTAATTCACCAGACACACTGAGTCATCAAGATGAAATAAAAGACGGGATCTTTTTTCCTTTGTGTCTCATGGGCTTTACGGCGATTGTCCTGTCGCGTTTCGTTGTATTATCTTGCACTCTTTGTTTGCACTCTATTATCTCTCTTCGCTCATTCTCAGTACCCTTATTGTCCGACATTAAGTCATCTGTTAATTGCCGCAACTCTCCTTGGGATTCGCCATGCTGATCGTAACCGAGCAGCGATTCACTCGAGGAAGAATTTAGCGGAATATATCATCGACTATTTATCGCCGCCAATTGAGTTAGCACGCGCCAAGTAGAATTCCGGAATTCTCAGAGTTAGCCAAGTTTGAGCATGCAACGCGCAAAGTATTAACGCTGACGGGATGCTCGCTCTTTCAGATCAAATGCAACGAGGAGGTGACACGTCGCGTCGGCGACGGCGGCGACGCGAGCGGATTCGCCGGCACCGTGGAAATGTGTTTCGCCACTGGACCCCTCGGCCTCCGTAAATATTCGTCTATGATGAGGTACGTAATGAGCAAGAGAGCGAGATTCAACAGCGAAATAACAAAGAAACATCATTTCATGCTCGTTTCAGTCCTTCGCCCACTTGTACTTGAGAGTAATTGAAGCGAATGGGCCACTTTTTAGGAGCGTATTCTCGTCTTAGGGATGAGGAAGGAAAATTCTCATATTTTAACGCTTTAAAACTATCGACAATTAGCGTGAGTTGTTTTTGTCAAAGCGGTCGAAGTGACGGGTTTCTGAAAAAGATTTTTTCAAACTTTACGCAAGGACAAAAAATTTGTTTGTTTATTCTTTCTAATCTTATTCGATCGGTCAATCAGTTCGTTAAAAAAAAGAAAGTAAGATTCATCGTTGTGCGAAAATTTGAGTAATTTCGATGAGAAATTATATATCATCGTAAGTTTCGACCCTTGGATGGTTCTATTTTTAAGACGAGTGGAACACGCTCTCGTTAAAATCGGCCGTCTGTTTCATTTATATCCTGTACAAACGCTCCTTAATAGATGCTGTTTACGCGCGCGCGAATCCAGTTTGAATTATATTTTATTTTACTCATGATTTTTTGCACATTAGCGCGTCGCCATTTATGTTGCCGTCTCTTGTGGTTTTGTTGCAGAAAGTTGGTTAATGTGTTTTTGTGCGTCACGCAACTCGGATTCTGCTGCGTGTATTTCGTTTTCATTTCCACAAATATGAAGCAGGTGAGATATCTCCTTCTAGCTTGTTCCACGGCGTCTTCTTTCTTTTGCGGCGTCTGCGTTGCCTTTAGCGCCTGTCGTTTATTCGTCGCACGGAACGAAGATAAATTATTACATCTATCTTTAACTGTTGAGGTCACAAGTGAATAAGTGTTAATCGTTCGTACGATCTTCCTTTCGATCGCAACGAGTATGACAACAAGTATGAGTAACAGATCGCTAAAAGTTGCTTGCACGAATAACATCCGCATTTAACAAAAATAACAACAACAATAATAACACTTTTATTGGACATAGCAGCAGGCGTCACATACATGTCGTGTATGTAATATATGTACAATAGCAAAAACTGGATACGATCAGAAGGAGAGACCGATAGTATTGTGGCTGCGCTATATTACTGCGTCTTTGATTTACTTATTTGATTTATAGTCGATAATAATAGTTTCTTATTGGAAAAGATACGTATTGAAGTATTTCACACAGTTAGTTTAATAGATAAGAATCTTTTAAGGAAGAAAACCTCGTTGTCAATATCGATGGTGAAGTGTCTGGTTTTTTCCAGGTGTTGGACGTGCATGGAATTAATATGGACGTTCATCAGCACATGGCAGTCGTTTTGATCCCCATACTGCTTAGCACCTGGATCAGAAATCTTAAGTACCTAGTGCCGCTGTCTTCGGTGGCGAATTTCCTCGTGATGTCGGGTTATATCGCTACCATGTACATCATGAGCCACAATGTGCCGTCTATAAATGAGAGAAGATACGTCTCAGACTGGCATGAAATACCTCTGTTCTTTGGTACTGTGATATATTCCTTCGAAGGTATTACTCTAGTGAGTACAGAGACATATACATTCTATCCCAAAATTAATATATTAATATCTGAATCCAGTTGATACATATACAGGGACTTATACTATACTAGACTATACAGGGGATACATGTCTGGGATCTTTTGAAAATGAAAAATTGTGAAGACTAACCAGATCAAACTGAGAAGAGAAGTCATTGTCATTTGGCAAAAATCGCAATAGTTATTAAGCTATTAATGATTGAAAAGGCTCTTCTAATTGATAACTTGAATATTTGTCTACTTATTTGTAAAATGGTAAAGGACTTTTTTATTCAAAATAACCTGATCTACAATTATATGACGATAGATATGAGTATATTGAACTTTGAATCCTGAATCTTGAATCTGTCGCTAGGCACAACAGACGTCATATAATTGTATAGATTAGGTCATTCTGAACAAACAAGTCCTTCACCATTTTGCGCATAAGTATGCAAATTTTCAAGTTATCAATGAAAAGAGTCTCTATACGTGATGATTTTCAATTATTAATAACTATTGAGATTTTTGCAAAATAGTACTTGACTTTTCTTCTCAGTTTGATCTGATTAAGCTTCACAATTTTTCGTTTCCAAAAGATCCCGAACATCCTATATACACACACACACACACACACACACACACATATATATACATGTTTCTAATAATGCGGGTTCATTTGCAGGTACTGCCACTGAAGAATGAAATGAAGAAACCTAGCAATTTTAACAAGCCATTAGGCGTTCTAAACGTCGGTATGGTGATAGTCGGCTCTATGTTCGTCGCGATAGGTTTCCTGTCTTACTTGAAATACGGTGACGAGGTCGCCGGTTCCGTCACGCTTAATCTCGATCCGACCAAGATGTAAGTAAATGCAATTGAATCTATATTGCTGCAGTAAGAAGAGTTTGCGGAGATAAAGTTCACCATTGTGTCTACAGGCGAATATCGCTATATTGATTCGACGACCGATTATTTTAGAGCCAATGCATAATGCATAATAATGTCAGTAGAATTTGATCATGATCAAATTGCGATATTAAGATTAAATAATGATAACAAAACCGTTGTAATATACTTTTCTCTTGTATTCCAAGGGTGGACGGGAAAGTCGTCTACGGCCACTCAAGGTTTATACATGAACATTTTCTAGAATTGCTGTGACTGATAGAAATTAGCTAGGATAGAGCTTAATTATGCGAGTTTGATCGAGTAGTAAATAACTTCCAACGAAGATGGCAAAATTTTCTTTTTCTAATATCCGCAGCGTGAAAAATAAAAAGATGAGAGAGAAGGAAAGTTATTTGCTATTCGCTGCAACGCATTATTAGAGATCACGAAAGTGAACTCGGCGGAGATTTTGCGCATGTTTTCACCCGCCCGCGCATGCGTCCTTTTTCTTTCTTTTTCTTTTTTTTTATCAATTACAGAATGTGGGAGAACTTTTAATTGACTTTAACTTTTTTTTCTACCTGCCTACCTATGCCAGTTCACCCATAATTTTCTGTAGTCATGTCAGAACGAATGTGACGAAGGATTTTTGCATCAACGATTTTCGGATTTTCTTGCAGTTTATCGCAGTGCATCAAGACCGCCATCTCTCTGAGCATATTGCTCACGTACGCGCTGCAATTTTATGTTCCGATCGCGATAATGTGGCCCGGCATCGTCAAACAATTCGGTCCTTTCAAGTGGCCGGTGTTCGCGGAAATCGTTTTCCGTTCCGCCATGTGCCTTGTCACGTGTAAGTATCGTGAAGGCTTATCAAGTCATTACTGTTATTATGTCGTTCACATATTTTATACGTATATATTAGTGGCAAGTTTCTATCTCGGCTCAATAACATATTGATATTTCAGTTATCCTGGCGGAGGCGATACCAGAACTGGGTCTCTTCATATCTCTGGTCGGCGCAGTCAGCAGCACCGCGCTCGCCCTCATATTCCCACCGATTATCGAGATAGTCGTTTGTTGGCACAACGCTAATCTCGGTGTATTTACGGTCGCGAAGGACTTGACGATAATACTAATCGGCGTATTAGGCTTCGCCACAGGAACATATGAAAGCGTGACGTCGATCATCAAGGCATTCAGCAAGTGAACGTCTTATCCGGACGGTATTATATTTTAATAAATAAGGGACACCGCGATCGCGGATCGCGCAAGAGGGCAAAAGTTAGACTTTGTAATACTTTACTAATTTATATCATATTTATCGTCGAGAGGATATTATATTTACCAAACAAAGAAAGAAGATTATATATTATTATATAAAATCGTTTGTAATTATATATAAATTATATATAGTTGTATATAAATTATATATAATTATATATGTGTGACTCCTTTATATATAAATTGTGTCTCTGTGTTGTCACGTATGTAATTATACAGAATTAGATATGTCCACGCTGGAAGAAACTGTTAAGTTGTTTAGCTGCTAAACAAAGGAAAAATGATCAATTTTAATTGTACATCTACATCACGAGCCGCTATGATCGATAAATCATTTTTATGATCGATAGATCGATTTTAATTGCATTTATACAACAGCATCTTTTCCGTGTGAATAATTTTTCCAAATAGAATCTTTTCTGTGTGTATATAATTATGTGTGATTATATATGGCTAAATAGAGATAGAATTCATATATAATCATATATAATTATTTTTTTTATCAGATTAATGTTTATAAACAACAACATAAACAACAAAATAAACAAACGATTAGAAATGAGCTAAATAATTCCCAACTAACTAGGACGAAATTCCTTCAAATGATTAGCCAATTAAAATAAATTCAATTGATATGCAATAAAATAATTTCTAATGATGAGGAAAAGGATGAGACACAAAATATATGGGGAACGGGAGAAAAGGAGATTAATTTTAATTATGCTCCTCTCGATGATGATTATCTGGTTGACAACCACATGCTTGACTCTTAACACTTTTGAAATATAAGTTTATAGTTGCTTTCGCTTATTCTGATCGCTCCATTTAGCGCTAAAAATGCAACCCGCTTTGTAAACTTTTTACATGTTTTACATGCGATATGAATAAACCGTGGCATCATTGTTGCCATGTTTAATAGTAAATATGACGTTCGGAATATAGCTCGGTTTTACTTGTAAAGGTGCGCGGGTTTAATATACCATGACATCTACAATATTTTCCGCGTGAATCAAAAGAGAAAAAGAGAAAAACCAAGAAATTATTCCTGTCACTTCGCACTTTCAAATCGTATGCGATTGTAGGTGTCGACAGATCCTAAGAAGACACGATCGAAATGTTAGCTGTTCTATGATGATATAATTTATGTGTGATACCAATAGTCGTAGCGATAAGGCGTAACGCAGGTTGTGGACGCAGTGTGATTGTTACCGATATCGAGTTGATATTAATAGTAAGTCTCTCGGGCAGCGTAAACACGCTCACGCGCTCGAAACAGATTCTGCAAGATATTTTGTGTTGTTCGAGTGCGTCATGCTTTATTTATGTGTTTAATAAGTCTTGTTACGTAAGTGGGAAAAGGTAAACGCGTTTTAGCTTTTATGCGTGATAATAACTCAAGGTACAATACATAGTATGTACATAAAGTAAAGGAGGAAAGAGGAAGAACAAAAATAAAAATGAAACAAGAGAACGCATCGATACTTTCTGTAATTATACAATACGCAGTTTCTGTAGTGGCGACGTGACTAAAAAGATAGGAACTGTAGTCTTGATGTAGTATTCGTCATTCTTGCGTTAGAACGATTAGCGAATTCTATGTCTTTCTATTCTAATTTCTCGGGAGCAGAATATGGGTTGTTAAGTAGTCAGATTAGTCTAACGCGATAACGATTGATTGATTGTGACTTGTGAATTAACGAACGTAGATCACGATACCGAAAAGTGTTTGAACACTAATCGCTATTAAAAACTGTATTGAAAATTGTCGATGATGAAAATGGTATTGGAAATTGCGCGTTGCGCTCACAAGGATAACCACGTGTTCAGAGCATATTATTAACGAATAATAAAGCACTTTGCAATTCTTTTTATTTGTGACGCTTATAAGTCGAAGGACAATGACTCGTTTCGCTTAAGCGGTTTTGTTTTTACTTTCAACGAATTATAGTAACCAATTGATTTACGTCAAAACAATTTTCGAAGACTCCATCAGCTACATTTTACTCGGAGGAAAATGTAAATTTATGCAATTGTAAATTGTTCCGTACAATTGTCGTGAACTACAATGTTGTTTTTCGAAAGACACTTCTCTTAATCACGTTAACAATCTTTTTAACATCCTTCATATGGGTACTATATTAATATATGATTATTATATTATATGTATGATTTTATATATATATATATATATATATATGCATACACACACACACACACATACACGCACGTCTGAATATATTATACTTTGGCATATATTATATTATATTTAAATTATATAATATTTGTTAGTAGTGTGAGTCTGATATTTTCTGTCACCAAGTATACACGTGTATTAAACATCTTAACAAATTAACAAAAATTAACAAAAAAGTTTTACAAATTTTGTGACAAGGCTTTAGACTCATACTATATAAACGTTGTCCATAAAATGAATAATTGATGAACCGTCAAATTTTAGGTCGCTTGGACATATTAGTATTTGACTGATAGTTGAAGTGACACGTGTACACGAGTAATAACCGAGAATATTCGCGTGTAATAATTATTCGATGGATATTGACGTTGCACTGATTGTGCTACAGCGACTATTAATTGTAATTGTATGTTTTATTTATTTACATGTGTCCAGGGTTAGTTTCATTCATATTGATTGTAATTAGAATCAGAGGGAAGAAAGATGATGAAAAGATGATTAAATTAAACAGCTACTGAGAACAAAAGAATTGATGAAACTAGCTCTTACAGCGTAATCGATATTTATAAAAGGAAATAGGAATAAGAAGTGAGCAATTTTTGATTGTATGTTCTACCGTAGATTAACACGCTTTATTGTTACATTTTTTTATATATCTAGCGACACTTTATGATAAGAAACAAAAAGAAAACTGCAAACACAGCATCTTGAGAAAGAAATTAATCATTGACTATGTACAATTTCGTTACCCAAAATTATTAACCGACGTATATTATACAGCATTTTTGCAGATTCGCAGAAACGAGGATTATCCGCGAATTTCAAATATTGTCGCGACGATAGGCAATTAATCAACGCGTTATAAGCGAATTTTATCTAGTGGCAAAATAATATTATCAAAAAATGAGTCTTTCTCCAAGAAATGTTTCCGCAGATTTTTTATACCGAGATAAACACGAGACGTTTTTGTATCTCGTGATGGGATTTGATCGATTGAATGAGCGTTTGTTAATCGTTTATTATTATTAATCGTTCTGGGACAGTCGCCTAGGAACGTACGGGAGTGATATAGTATTAGTGAAACCTATGTAGTATTAATTAAATTTAGGACAAGAACAGTACATTCGTTAATTAACGATAGATAAGAAGTTCTGATTACCGCTTGGATCTAGCGGTACGTTCGTTATCGCACACGGATAATACCGGAGTACAAATCCACTCAGGGAAGCCTATCGTAAAAATATCCGTGTTTTCTCTCTTCGTATCTCGTCTTTTTTCACGTTTAGTTCCCGCTTTATATTTTTTCCTTTTCAGCAGAAAATACAAATATTTGTAATACCACTGAAAAAATATTACAACAGACATATATTGACTTTGTAGCGGAAGCTAGATACGATCTGTAAAAAAGAAAAAAAACGAACTATTTTATTTAGTTTATTAAAAGTTTCTATTTGAATTATATTTTATCCTTTTAAAATCGGATCCAAAATCCTCTAAAAAATAAACATCAATCAAGTTCCGGAAAAATATTGCAATATTTTATGCATTGTGACGTGGCAGCCGCCGGGCGCCCGTCACTAGTAGGCGAAATCTCGGTCCCGACGCGGGGGGGGGGGCAATTAACGCAGGGATAATTAACGCGCAATAAATGGGAGTGCTAGCGGGTCCCCCCCCCTCTGAGAAATTGTAATAATGTGGAAACCAGTCATTAGACCTCTGTGAAGTTGGCCCCACCTTTTCAAAATTTGAAAAAAATGAGCAGAGTTCTGATTGCCCCCCAAAGAGTTCTAGAGTTCTCTATCAATAAAAAAAAGAGTTCCGTTGATTAAAGTGGTCAAAACACGAAATAAAGTTATGGGGGGGCCAACTTCACAATTGCGTAAATTTTAAAAGGCCATAACTTTTTTACCTTAAACTTTAGCGCTTTGATGCTTAAAGAAAATCAATAGAATTCTTCGGTGGGCTACCAGAACTCTCAAGAAATTGACCGATTTCCGAAAAAAATTTTTCTCCTAGTTGGACTTAGAAAATTAAGTTTAAGAGTTTTAAAAGTTTAAGAGTTCTGGTAGTCCTCCGAAGAGTTCTATTGGTTTTTCTTATGACTCGAATCGTTTCGAGCAGAAATGAAAAAGTTGTAGCTCTCTGTTCATTTTTTTCAAATTTTGAAAAGGTGGGGCCAACTTCACAGAAGTAGTCACAGAGGTAGTGTTAAGAGTGTGCAGGTGAGACGGTCTCGCGTCCCTCAATTTTGTGCCCCCGGACTTCCCGAGCCGACCAGCAGGACCGGAGGACCGAAGGATTCAACGGACGTCGCTCATTGTCAGGCACGGCACTATCAGGTGATTGCTGCTCTCGTTTCTCTTTTCGCCTTAGGAAATTTTATGCCGTCCCGAAAGCGAACGTAAGAAACGTGTACCGTCCCGCGGGGTTTTGGAGCGTGCCGATTTCCGAAATAATAAACTGGTGATTCAAATAGTAAGAACGCCGCTCTTTATTCTCTGCCCGCCTTCTCGATTTCCGGCCTGACTCATCTCGTCTACCGACCGATAAATTTCACAGAGCTACCGATCCCGTCGGAGTCTCGCATCGCGGTCACCCGTGGTATTAATTAGCGTTGGTGAGTGGTGCGGCTATCCGCACCTGGCGCCCAACTTAACATTTTGTTTTGTGTGAAAGACCGTGACGCGTGGACCGACGGCAATTTGCCGGCGCTTAGAAAATAGCGTCACAACATTTTAAAGTAGGTTATGTTAATGTAGATAAATTATGACTTTATCTGTAAATTTATACTATTATCTTACCGGCTGTTTATCGCTGTCATCTAATTCACGAAGATATAACGTTATATATAATCAGAATATAGTTATCACGTATCAACTATTTATTAAGAATAAAAGTTCTTTAGTAGGACAGAATTTAATATTTACGAAACAAAACAATCAGTTAAAATTCAATACTATCATTAATATTCCATATTCAAAATAATTATGCATCAATAATAATTGTGCGTCATATGTTTGTTGCTCATCATATTAATGCATAATAAATAACAAATTTATATGTATACATTTTTTTCCTAGTTTTATATTTTTTATATTTAAATGTGTAAATGAGTAATCTATCTGTTCAGAAAATCCGCTTTATTGTGCATTTTCTAGATTGTGTTTCTCGAGATTAGATGCCTGTGAAATATTATTCTCAATCACTTTTTAGCTTTACTTATTTATTTTTACTTAGCTTTACTAATTAGTTTGTGAAATTAAATTATCAATAACAATCAATAATACTAAAGGTCGCTCCAAACTTCAATAATATTGGTATACAGAACATAGAACAAGACATAGAATTATTCAACTCTTATGGGAATAAACGTAAGTTTCCAACGAAAATTTATTGAAGAATTTCTATTTGCTAGAATTATCCGAGTAAATTGGGAATTGTAATAAAAATTGCATAGAAAATTGATCGGGTTAATATTTTAAGATTCATATCGAATCATTTATGTGAACCAGACTCTGTATAGCAGATGTTATACGTTAAAACCAAAAAGTCTGTGTGTTGTGTAATAATGAATGTAATTATGTAATATAATTATGTAATTATGTAATATAATTATGTAATTATGTAATAATGTAATTAAGTAATTATGTAATGAATGTAATAATGAATGTAATGTAATGTAATAATGAATGTAATAATGAATGTTTTTGTCGAGGAGTAATTCGTGCGAAAAACAATTGACAGAGAAACTACGACTTCTGATAATTTATTTACGGTTATACTGATTACGGTTATACGTCGTGCATACAATGATTTTTTGTTAAAATATACGCATCTGCTATCTGCATGAAGTCATTTGTGTCATGTATATTTATGTCGGTATTGTCTCTTTCGTATTACGATTTGTTATGCGGATGATATAGATTTCTACGGCAGGAAAAGATGAAGAAAAGAGAAAGTTTTAACAATTAATTAAAATCATGCGAAACTAAATAATGAATAGTAAATAATAAATAAGTAGGAACGATACAGAACATTTTCGAGAATTGTCTCAGTTATAACCGACATAAATTGTCATTTTACCGTGGAGGTAAAATGCACGATAATAGCCGTAATTTTTTTTCAAGCAGATTTTTCAAGCAGTAAACATATTCTAGTTCTCATTAATTTCATATAACATTATTTTCGTTTCTTCTTTCCTTCTTGTACTTTCCTCTAAAATATTTTTTCATTATTTTCACGTTCAGCTCGTGAAATTTGTATTATTATCATTATATAAATATTCCGGGCAAAGAATTCAGTTCCAATAATCTTGAAATATGTTGTTAAAGTCATCGCTCTGAATATCTTTTAAAAGGTTTCAATTGGAGTTTATTGTTCGTTGAAAAGTTATCATAATGAAAGAAATTTAATAGAACAAATTTTTGACAACATATACGTATAAAAAAATATGTATAAAAGCATTATCCTTGTACACAAGGAAGATGTTTAATTCGTTTCTTTGTACTTCCAATAAGATTAAACTGCTGCATTTTGTTTTAAAATAATGTTCAAAAATTTTTTACCTTAATTGACGAGTTTCATGCTTAAATTTATTTTATTATATAGTAGACTCATCAATTTAGTAAGACGAAGAATTTCACACACATATAAAAAATAGACTCGATCCGCTCCTGTAAGTAAATACTCAGTATGTGACAGGTGAAACATTAATCAAATTCACGGATTTGATTATTCCGTATGTGCTCGTGTATAACGCAGGTTCTATGTACGATCACATAGATGACTTGTACATTCTGTCGAATGCCTTGAGTTAACATTCTAAGGTGGAAGAAAAAAGAAAAGCAGTAATAGGCAGGGAATGGGAGTTGACCTTCGATAAAACTAGAATTGAAACACGTTTTCTGAAGAGTTCCGAGTAGTAACTTCTTCGCTTGAATCAGTTGCCATCTGAGCCGCGTTAGTTTTTACTCTGTGCTCTATCGTTGTCTCAATCTCAGCACTCATTCTTCATTCGTGCAAGTTTTTGTAAATCTCCGAAAGGTTGCATTTGCATACTCCGCATAAATTGATTATTGTGGTTTAAATAAAACGTGCAGAGCTACAGCTCATATGCAGCTCGTGTTTTGTTTTGTTTTGACACCTAAGGAGTATCTTCCTGAGCAATGAGCTACCGAACATAAGGAGAGTAAAATAAATATAGAGTTTGGAGCACTGGCGGATTCTAGAGGGAGGGGTGGCGGGTTTGGGATTAAATCCCCCTCTTCCAAATAAAAAAGAATCAGTCTTACTAGACCGTTTAAAAAATTTAGGTAAAATGATATAGGCCTATTAACACAGACGCCCGTGAATCAAATTCTTATGTCTAGGATTCATTGCATCCTAGACATCCAAACAGGCCGATTTCTGATATGTTCGCTGTTGTTTGCTGAGAGTCTATTAATGATTATAAAAAACCTCAAAGCTACAGCATTATTGTATTTACAATTTTATTAAATCAATCCCCCCTTGCCCCATTATCGACATCAGAATCCGCTAGTGGTTTGGAAGTGATAGTCTTTTGGAATATCGTCTAACAGGAATCTTGGAAAGAATCATAAGTATAACTATATCGAGTTAAACATTTTACACACGTATACTATTTCCTCATGCGTATTAACTGACGTTAACTGGTACGTTTTCGAAACTTCTTTTGTTAATAATTCTTTAATAAATTATGAGCGTCGATTAAAATCGAATATTTGAGGCAACATATTTCGAGATCAGAGTGATTAGAAGTGAACTCTTATAAAGAATTATTAAAATAGATTTTAATTTTTATCGAAATTAGAAAATTTTTATCGAGATATCAAGTATGTTGTGAAACTCACAAAATAAGCATATTCATAACTTGTTATTCCCGTTTATTACATATATGTGTGTATTTTGGATTTCTTAATCTGCGGTTATTTTATATCTTTCTCTTTTTTTAATCACTTTATTTCTTTTTAGTTTCTTTAATTTCTTCTTAGTTTTTTTTTTTTCAGCACGGTTACTACATTTATGACAACATTTTACTATTAGTGATATTTGTAAAATGTAATATAAAAATAATGATATTTTAACGTGAAGATAAAACACTATCGGACGATACGAGCATATTCACACACACGAATGCATGTGTATACATAAATGAGGATGATATAAAATCTTGCTTGCTAGAGATTCTGCAGTAGCAACTGAGACGTATATCTGCGATAATTATTATTTGTTTTGTGGAATAGAGATAAGTCAGTTAGGAAAACGCGCAACTTCTTAGTTGGTGAAGTTCTCTTGAAGAAGTTGATTCATTACAGTGAAAGCATACAACATGACGTATCAGGTATGATGCATAAAAATAAATGAAAATTTCAACAAATAAGTTCGTCAACTGGTACAGCTAACAATAATAATGATAAAATAAATGCAATAATAATATATATGGCTAACAATTAGAAGTTACTTAATTCTTGTTTCACAAATTCTTCGCACAAGTGATTCAAAAGAAAGATACAAGTATTAGAAGTAATCTCGTTAATAAACAATAATAAATGGTCTTGTTTATTTTTAGGAAACTAAATCTTCCTTTAAAATCGAAAATAACATCTTGATAAACGACGAGGATGCAATTGAAAGTGAATGTACAAGTATTGGGGAATTAATCCTGAACGCATTTAAAGCGAAGTCGGATTTTATCGGACAGGTAGCACATATTAACGACGAAATTCGCTTAACTTATATCTACGACATATTAGATGAGTGCAAAAGTTTTGATGGGTTTTGTCATAAAATAATATAAACTAAATAATTTTATTAAAAAACGATTTATTCATTCTAACAAGCAATCGCGCGCTGTTTTTCTCTATTATCTTTGGCATATTAAACATCTACAGATTTGTGAATCACGTTGTCATAAAACTGATTAATCATATTTTTGAGGAACTTACTAAAACTTTTACACTCGTTTGATATTTACATTTACCAACGTTAAATGCTTGACAAAGACAACATATGGATATATTTTCTATCTCCTAGAGAGAGAAAGAGAGAGAGAGAGAGAGAGAGAGAGAGAGGGAGAGAGAGAGAGAGAGAGAGAGAGAGAGAGAGAGAGAGAGAGAGAGAGAGACAACTAATAAATAATGTATTTGTTCAATATATAAACCGAATCCACTAAGCATTAATTGTCTCGATAAACGCAATAATAATAACAACCAATATATTTATTATTTGATAATGAAAGATATCGATTAATACGTTCCACAGATAGATGCGCTGACGGGAAAACAAAATACGTTCCAGCAAATGAGAGAAAGGAGCGTAAAATGCGCATTATGGCTAAGGAAGCAGAATGTTAAGCCAGGCGACATAATTGTGACATGTACGCATAATCAATTGGAATCTTACGTACCGTTCGTAGCTTCCATGTATATCGATGTTTGCATAAATCCGTGGAACGAACATTCCAGCTCAGGTAAATCGATCATACGTTAAATTTTTATGCGATATACGCAGTATTTTTTGGTATCTAGATAAAATTTGAATAATGATCTGAATAAAGCTATCGACGTATCTTTATCTAGATAACATAAATATATACAGTCGTGGGGACAAAATTAAGTAGACACTGCATAAATTTTGGCAAACCTCTGTTACATTCCAATGTTGTAAATAAATTTTAAATTTTGAACGTAAAATATTCTTGTTGACATGAAGAAATATTAATTTAGTATATATAGGGTGTCCGGAAGGTGATCATTAATATTTTGTGTACTGGTAGAACTCGTTAAAACAATTAAAAAAGTCCTGTGCCATTTTACAATTTTTTCAATATTTATTCCGTAATTAATTAAAATGTGTAAGCGAATGAGCGCACGAGAAAACGACAGGACGGGCTCTATATATAAGAAGATGGCTTATCTCGCGCGGCGAGAGACAACCGTAAGCGACAAGAGGCAGCCGCCCAACGTTCTCTACGCACTCATTGGCTCACATGTTTCAATTAATAACTCGATAACTATTGCCAATTTGACATTATGGTACATGACTTTTCTTCTCGGCTACACCCAATCTACCAGTACACAAAATATTAATGATCACATTCCGGACACCCTGTATAATTGTAAAAACAGTGTGTTTCTGTAACTCTTTACATATATTTATTCATATGGTTAGCATTTAGACCTTGGACAAAATTAAGTGGACAAACAGAAAATTTTATATTCAAAGTGAAACAATATAAATAAACATTGAGCTTTATCTAATATGTGATGTTATTGCGTCCTGAGTGTACGTTGATCCTTGTACCAGTACAATCAAAGTAATAATAAACAGACATGTCTAAGCAAAGAAACGAGTTTTCCGTTCATCTGCGAAATCTAATTATTTCAGACTGCAAAAATAAGCTAAGTTATCGTAAAATAGCCGAAAAATATAAAATTTCGAAAAGCGCAGTTCATAAAATTTATACAAAATATTCACAACATGATACTATCGAAAATGTACATGGTCGGGGACGGAGACGTAACACAAGTGCATACGATGACAGAAGAATTGTGAGAGAAGCTCGAAGTAACCTATCGACAACGTCACGAAACATTGTTGAACAACAATTAAATATATTTTCATAATTAAACATATTTTCAAGAACTGTGAGACGAAGATTAAAAGAGATGGGTTTAAAGAGTTGTGTAAGTAGACGTAAACCATACATTAATAAAGTGCATAAAAAGAAACGTTTAGCTTTTGCAAAAAAATATGTAAATATATGTATATATGTATATATATGTATATATATAAATAAATAAGCTATTATCATTTTGGAAATAAATAATATGGAGCGATGAAAATAAATTTGAATTATTGAATAAAAAAAAGAGAGCACACGTGTGGAGGAAATCGAATGAAGCTCTAAAGAAGCAATATGTTGTACCAACAGTCAACTATGGAGGAGGTGCAATAATGAATATGGGTTTGTTTTTCGTGGTATAAGATTGGAAATTCAGTAGCTATAGATGGAATTATGAATGCTGATACATATATTGATATTTTAAATGAAAACTTAGAAGAATCAATTTTAAAAATGGATTTCGATTAGGAAATGGATGTTTCAGCAAGACAATGATCCGAAGCACACAGCAAAGAAAACGAAACAATTTTTCTAGAATTGTACGTAAAATAGAAGCTCTTGAATGGCCTCCACAAAGTCCGAACCTTAATCCAATCGAAAATTTATGGAGTTTACTAAATGCAGAGATTCCATTAAAAAAACGCAATAATAAAGAAGAGTTTTTAAATGAACTGCAACTACAATTTCAAAGAATTGATAAACATTATCTGAAAAAACTTGTTAAAAATATGCCACGACGTTTACAAGCAGTAATAAAAGCAAAAGGCTACAATACAAAGTATTAATTTACTTTGTATAAAGTGTCCACTTAATTTTGACCATGTGCAGTTTTATGTTATTATCATTAATAAATAAAAATTCTAATATATTATTTGTTATAATTGGTTTTTTTTATATTTTGTCAAATTATACTTCGTTAATTTAAATAAGCAATATAGGTTTGATTTTTTGACTTTATTAGTTAAATTAAATTAACCTTTTGTTATTTATGATACCTATCCACTTAATTTTGTCCACGACTGTATATTGTTCTCGTCTGCTTGTCCTTAAATTGGAAAAGACGTTTACAAAATCTTTACAAAATTGCTTAAAACGGCATTCACAGGTAATTTAGTCTACATTGCTGCAAATATTGTAAAATATTGAGGTATTTGATTTGTAGACGTTGCGTAGAACTATATATGTATCAGACGACATTAAAAGTGAAATTGCATTGGCATTCATGAAAAATCAGAACAAGTAGACTAAGAGAAATTTACATATTTCTTTCTTATTTATATTTAGCTAATTATAAAATCATTTGAACATATATACTAATTAACTTTATTTAGTGTCCATAATTAATTGTTCTTTGTTTGTCATCTAAGTTGATTTATTAACAAAAAGAAATATTTCCAGGCAGTATAGAGCATTTCTTCAAGATCGTCAAGCCGAAAGTGATCTTCGTCAATGGCAACAAAGCCGCGACGATCCTTGAGGTCGCAACGAAGCTGGGCGTTTCTCCGAAGATCGTGGTTTTCGACGAGACTGAAGGTTTCGAATCACTCGAGTCGATTTTGAACGGACATTTTGATGAGGCCGAAGTCGACGGATTCTCCTGTACGACGTTAAAGAAGAACAATATACGAGAGACCACGGTGGTATTATTTTCTTCCGGCACGACCGGCCTCCCTAAAGCCATAGAGATCCCTCATACATTGTTCACCAGTTTATCAAGGATGGAAGTGCCTCCCATGTCACCTAGTGACGTTGGTCTGTGGTTCGGATCCTTAAGTTGGATCACCAGTGTATTATTGACCATTCATACTATACTCTCGTACGCGACAGCGATTAAGTGTTCTGGATTTGACTGTGAGAAGGTGTACCAGATGATAGGGAAGTACAAGGTATCGTAAAATAATTGAAATGCAAAAATGATTGAGTCGCAGAAAAATTTAATGTTTATACGGAATAATAGGAAGAACGCATTTTACGATATCGTTCTAATTAGTCCGTAATTAAGTAATAACTACCACTGCTCTTGACGAACTTAGTGAAGATGAGATCTCGTTATTATCCCACTTTAGGTGACTTGGATGTTAATCGAGACCGGTATGTGCAACCGATTAGTGAAATCTGGTGTCTTGACGAGATACAATATTTCTTCCTTGAAGATAATCATATATGGCGGTTCGGTAAACAAAGCTGAACTTCACGAGAATCTCGTTAAATCTCTGCCGGATGTTCTTATCATGCCGATTTACGGTACGCACAGTTGTTACCAATTGCACGATATTTAATAAACGACAATGACGATGACAAGATCCAAGGTTTAAAATTATTACGACGGTTTATGAATTGTTCTAGGCATGACTGAAACAGGATCAATTTCTTACTCAACAAGCACCGGAAAGTTCGGATCCAGCGGTCGTATATGCAAGAACAACCGTTTAATGATCGCCGATCTTAACACCGGGAAACCGTTAGGCCCCAATATGCATGGTGAAATCTGCACCAAGTCTCTGACTATGATGAACGGTTATTACAGAGATCCTGAAAATACCAAGAACATTTTCGATAAGGATGGTTAGTTACAAATGATTTCTCTTTCAATTGACCTCACTCTGTGTTATCTACAGCGCGGCGCCTATGGCACGACATCATCTCGTTTTTCTAAAAATTAATCATGACCATATTGTTTTATTATATATCGATGAAATCGACATCAAATGCTCTTTGATTTTTGTCCTCATGAAATTTTTTAATTTTGCAAAATTAAAGGGATAGGGGGAGAGAGGTTGAATATTCTGACACTTTTGAAAAATCTAAATGTACCGTTACAAACAGTATAAAGTATTGTAAAACTTTTGTAGGAAACATTTCTTCATATACCTCGTACTTTAGAAGATATTCGCAAAAAATGAAAATGTTAGTTCTTTTTGAGGGGTTGTTTCACTTCCTAAATCTTGAGATATGCCGATAAAAAAAATATGTATCTAATATTTTTTGTTGCTCTACAACATATCCAAAGCCCATCGAAATCGAGGCGAGGGATAATTCCGACGGTTTCCTTGTAAGATTACACAGGCACACAAAAAAAAGTGGTCGATCCCAGAGACCAGACTACCCTATTCTTATGTATTTTGGCTCGCTGAACACGAATCCGAGGTCAGTTTTTTCCCATCATATCTTGTTTTTTTAAACTTTAAAAAAAGCTAAAAAATGTCCAAAATCGCTTATTTGCTGCCTAAAAGATAGACACGGAACAGGCAACTAGTGCTAAAGCTATATTCCATTCTACCATAATGTATTTTGAGACGCTGAAAAAATATTGTGATTGATTTATAAATCTAGAATTTTTTTTAACATAATAAAATCGTCCAAAATCGTTAAAATGGCATTCATTAGTTCAGATCTTATTCACAGAGTGAGTCTTTGAAAAGCAAATAAACAAGCAGGTGAATCAAACTCGATCCTTTTTGTATATTTGCAAAAAAAGAACATTTTTATTAATTTTTTTATGATAACGTACTCTCTTATTTTCAAAAAATCTGTGAAGTGGGTTTCTTTTACTCCTTTCCGTTCATACTCTCTTTTTAACATCCAACAGAAGTAAGCCATCGTCCTTGATATCTTCGCTCCATTTCTTTAATATCTTGGTGGAAACGTTCACCCTGCTCTTCACTGTAATCTCCTAAAATCTCTGGGAATTGATCTACATGAGAATGCAAGAAGTGCAACTTCAGGTTCATCAGGCATCCCAATTTGCTGAAGTTTTCAACCATATCAGAGACTACTTATTTGTAGTTCTTGGGGAAACAATTCCCACAGATGACCGATGCAAAATTGAAGGAAGGCATTTTTGATGGACCGCAAATTAGAAAAATGTTAAGAGACCAGATCTTTGTTGAACAATTTTGAACCAACTTTGTTGAACCTTGTTGAACCAACATTGAAAAGTCGGTGTAGCTTGGTTTTCAGGAAGTTATTGAGAACTTGTTAGGTAACCATAAGAGCGAGAAACAAATACAAACTACAAACAAGTAATCTCTGATATGGTTGAAAACTTCAGCAAGTTGGGATGCCTGATGAACCTAAAGTTGCACTTCTTGCATTCTCATGTAAATCAATTTCCAGAGATTTTAGGAGATTACAGTGAAGAGCAGGATGAACGTTTCCACCAAAATATTAAAGAAATGGAGCGAAGATATCAAGGACAATGGGATGTGAACATGATGGCTGACTTTTGTTGGATGTTGAAAAGAGAGTATGAACGGAAAGTAATAAAACGTAAAAGAAACCCACTTCACAGATCTTTTGAAAATAAAAGAGTACGTTATCATAAACAAATTAATAAAAATGTTATTTTTCTTGTAAATATACAAAAAGGATCGAGTTTGATTCACCTGCTTGTTTATTTGCTTTTCAAAGACTCACTCTGTGAATAAGATCTGAATTAATGAATGCCATTTTAACAATTTTTGGGCGATTTTATTATGTTAAAAAAAATTCTAGATTTATAAATCAATCACAATATTTTTTCAGCGTCCCAAAATACATTACGATAGGATGGAATATAGCTTTAGCACTCGTTGCCAGTGTCCCGTGTCTATCTTTTAGGCAGCAAATAGGCGATTTTGGATATTTTTTGGCTTTTTTTAAAGTTTAAAAAAACAAGATATGATGGAGAAAAACTGACCTCGGATTCGTGTTCAGCGTGCCAAAATACATAAGAATAGGGTAGTCTAGTCTCTGGGATCGACCACTTTTTTTTGTGTGTGCCTGTATTATCATTTTCTTTGCTCCTATTAGTTGAGCAATTTTTATCTGAAATGTTTCTGTGTTAAACTTAAAAACTTTTAAATATCCCAGTGAATTGATTAAAATGAGCCATCCTGTATATCTTACAATATTAAGCTAAAGTTTAAAGTTTAAAGTTAAGCTAGTTCAAAAGATATATAAGATATTTAGTAACTTCAACGAAAACAATAAATATATGCGTATGTATGTACGTTTACGATACAAATCGATGTTTGTTAGGATGGTTCCACACTGGAGATCTGGGCTACTATGACGAGGACGGCTATATTTTCATCGTTGATAGGATCAAGCAGCTCATTAAATGCAAAGGCCATCAAGTTTCGCCAACGGAAATTGAAATACTGTTACAGAGTCATCCGTCTGTATACGAAAGCGCCGTAGTTCCTGTGCCTCATCTTTTCGACGGACAGCATCCGACTGCGTTCGTCCAGAAAATGTCGGGGGCAGAAGTAATAAGATTTCTTCGGTTACTTCGCTTTTATATTTGATCGAGTCTTTTGTAAAAGTCTTTTGAGATAACATCCTATTCTTTTTAGGTGACGGCAGAGGAGCTAGAACAATTAGTGGCCATGAACATGGAGGATTACAAAAAACTTCGTGGAGGTGTGGTGTTCCTAGAGAACATACCGCATGTTCCCAACGGAAAAATCGACCGGAAGCAACTTCGTAACATGGCGGAGATTTTCAAGAAAAAATAAAGTCGCCCAGATCAGCCATTCCACATTCTAATTAATGTTGCAATCACCATTTATAGTTCGCGGGTTATAAGATTGAAAAAGTAGATATGATAGTAATCAGGTGGTGCTGAAATATTGGGCGTGTGTGAAAGTTTTGAAGGGTTTCTCAAATATATACTGACTAATCTAGTTTTATTGCACTATTTGCAAATATGTAAGAATATAATATATCAAAGATAATAGAAAATAATAATAACGCGATTATATATGAATAAATCAGTCTTATTAGTTGATCTTACCTTTTAACATATATATAACACAGTGTCAAAGTATTGTCAAAATCATATTACTTACAACGGATATCTATAATGGGAAATACGATGAATTGTCGATGATCCATAAAAATATGCATAATTAATAAATAATTATTGCATATACTAGTATATATTCCGTAATTTACAATGAAATGCTTCTTACTGAAAATATGTGCTTGTCAATAAAACATGTTTTACCCAAGCACGTGCATTGTACGTTTCATAATACTATGTATTTGGGAATACTGTCCTGTATCTAGAATAAAAATGTTATTTCACACATGTTATCTCGTGTAAATGATTGCGTAAAATACGAATCTTCAAAATATGGGAAATGCGAAGTAACGTGCGAGCGGAAGAAGTAGAGAAAATAATAAAATAGGAAGTGTTTCGAACAAAAACATATTACTTTATCTTGCGATAATTACAGCTGTGTTTGTTCCTTCATACAACTCGAATTTGAATAATTCGCAACAACTGCATAACCATTAAAATTTTCAGATGATGCTCTCGACAACTAGAACGAGCAGACGTTTCTTGCGACTCGGTTCGAACTGATTGCGAAGTAACTCCCGAATTTGTCTCGTTTAATAGAGGATCCTTTGAAAAGAAGAACAATTGATCTTCATGGAATTCGTAACGTCACTTTTAAACGAAAAGAAAATGACTAAGGTAAAAACGACGATGTTAAGTCTCGCCTCATAAATTTCGTTTTCAACATTCTCGTGAAGACATTGTGATAATGCTTCAACATTATAATAACTGTATTTGCATTGTGAAACATATCTTCCAAGTTTCTAGTGGAACAAGTTATTGTGGAGTGGATGTTCATACTCATATTCATTACAATTTACTGCGCTAACGATTTATCTTTAATTAATAATAAGCTACCTTGCGTGTAAAGCTGGTTGTTCACCGTCAATATTTGTTACCATGAAAAATTGGGTATAACTTCAAACTTACATAGTCATATTCTTCGGGCTACAGTACCCACCGCCGTGCAAAATCGTGGACAAGGTAGTGATCGGCGAAGAAGCGCCGGTTTACCGGGAATGCGTCGGTATCGGCGAGTTGATTTACGAGCAGCTGTCCGGTAGTCCGGAGATAATCGGCCAGGTGAGTCGAAGTTATGCGGATTGATTGATACGACAATGTTGCTTTTTGCGAGATTGTCGATCTTCATGCCCGTATCGTCTCATGTTCCAATCAAACCACGAATTATTTATGTACGATGCAGATAGACGCGGTTGACGACAGACGTGCGACATTCGCCGACATCAAGGACCGAAGCGTCCGGTGTGCACTATGGCTGAAGAGTCGAGGTGTTCAACCCGGAGATGTAGTTGCTGTTTCTACCCACAACCACCTCGACTCCATTATGCCCTTACTCGGATGCCTCTACATCGGCGCGCTCTTCTATCCCATGCATTTCAAACTGAACATCCGTACGTTTATTATTGTATAAATCCCATTTAGTTATCACATTATCCAGACGGAGACAAGTGTTCGGTTGAATTAATGTGACAATAAACCAAATGCGAATTTCGGTCAAAGGGAACAGAACTTCTCGTTCTTATGAACTAAATTCGACTCTAAGAACCAGACATTTTGTTTCTCTTTTTCAACGCGTTTGGCTCCTTCATTCTCACGTTAACTCATCCAATCGGTCTTCTCTGTGTATAGAAAATCTAAATTAAATAGTTTAATAAATATTTTTAAGCAACATTCCAATTTGACGTCGTTCTCGCGCTTGTTCGTTAATTCTTCAGACGACAGCCGGTATTTCCTTTCTCTGGCGAAGCCGAAAATTATTTTCGCGAATGTCGACATGGCGGACACCCTGGTGCAAGCTGCGACGGAGGAAGACCTGAAGATCGAACTGGTGATTTTTGGCGAAGCATTCGGCTATGAGAGCTTCAGCAAAATCATCAGTGATCAGGATGCCGAGGCGGTCGATAACTTCCGTTGCAGACCGATCACCAGCCCGAACGAGATCGGGTTGATCGTCTGCTCGTCCGGCAGTACTGGGCCGTGCAAAGCAACGATGCTCTCGCATTTTGCGCTGATCAATAACATGCTGCACGACAACTCCTTCGCCGGGAAAGACGACAAGGTGGTAATGTGGTTTAGCAGCTTCCGTTGGATTTCCGGTGCGGTGCTGCCGCTCCGGTCGATTTATTTCCGCAAGACGTGGATCATTTATCCGGAATACAAGGAGGAATTGGTGTGCCAGTTGATTGAGAAGTATAACGTACGTAAGCATATACAGCGTGTAACATCACATACAAGTCAGTATGACGGATTACCTACTCCCATTAATGATAATGCAGAGGTTGCCGAAAAAGTCGTTTGTCATTTGTTGATCTCATCGATAATGATATTTGCAGTGCTCCCAGTTATGATGAATGCAACTCATTTTGTATCGTAATCATTTATGATAGCAGCCGAGCTTCATCAAATAAAAAAAAAAATATTTGAAAAAGTGAAACTGAGAAATAAATATTATACGAATTGAAGCAGAGTAAATAAGAGTAATAGTTAAGGGGACAAATAATGTAACATATTTTCTTGTTTCGCATAATTTCTTAATTTTTCTCTTGCATTGGAAAGTTCGGTTGAAATTGGAGATTAGAAAAAATGGTACAGAAATATTTAGAAGTCTTATATATTATCTTTCATCGTTTTTGGAATAGATCGCTCCTGTAAAAATATGAATCGACCGGAAACGCAAAATAAATTATTGATCGCAACTTAATCGATAATAACTATTAAGCGAGATATTTCTGGTATATAATCTTTTTTTGTTTTGACATCTCTTTTATCAAAAATAGCATTTGTTTTTCGAAGTGTTTGCAGCTTATAAGTAAATCAGAACATTCAAGCCACTTCTTTCGATAAAAAGAGTCCAGAATTTGAGCATTTTACACTATAATAAGAAATTTTCAATGAGGCTTGCCTTCTGTCATAAACAAATCCGATGCAAAATTAGTTGCATTCATTATAACTGGGAACACTGCAACTATCATTATCGACGAAATCAACGAGTGACTTTTTCTATAACTTCTGCATTTCGGACGATAACGTCCGAATGGTGGCAGGCAATCCGTCGTACTGATCTGTATGTTGATGTTATATGCTATACATTAGACATAAAAAGATATTTCTATGCATAAACATTTTTTTTTATTTTAGCAAATATATTACTAGATCGAAATAAAATTTAACTTACAATTTGAACAAAATTTACTAAAATATTTTGTTAAAAATAAAATTTTCAAATTCAGAGAATTTTATAAATTCATTTGCTAGATTTCAATAAACATTAATTATAATGCACTAAGCCAGAATTAGATTAAAATAAATATTTCAAGAAAAAAAAGTCATTTTCTAATTTTCGTGCTTTAATTTACTAGGCAATTAAATGAGGAAAATTTATTAATATAAACATTAATTACTTAAATTAAATAAATATAATTTTATTTCTTTAATCAAATGTAAATTTTTGCTATTTACTATTTGTTAAAAAAGTATGTTAAAAAATAACTGATTTTTACTCTCAAATCAAGTGATAAACGATTTCTTTATCAAATGAAATATAAATAATGTTGATTAAATAATACGTAATGTAGATAAATTTCAACCCTTTCGCTACGGCACAGTGTGGCGACTAATGTAAATCACGGGACAAAACGAGTAAAAATGAAAGTTTGATTTTTAACACATTACCATTAAAGATATTTAGTAAAATACTTATAGTTTCTTTTCCTATGTCGCAATTTCCATAATAACTAACAGAATATATATACAACGCAAAATCAACAGTTCAAACTGTTACATCTTAATATGATGCTAGCAAGATGCATCATCCGAGTTAATTTCATGTTGCATATACAATCTTGTTTAGTTTCAAAAATGTATTATTTCATCAGCTTTGTGTTACTGTATCAAATTATTTTCTTGTATGTTTCTCCAAAAAATATCTATTTTTCAACTTTATATATTGTTAATTTTCAGTGGAAATTTTAAGTATTAGGAGTACAAATAGTTTCCGCCGTTTTCTATCAAAAATTAGGAATTTATTGTGAAAGAACGGTACATTACGTTTTATTCAAAGTATTGTCCATCACTAGCCACTACTTTTTCCCATCTTTCTGGCAGCATTCGGATACCACGTCGGAAGAACTCTTCATCTTTTGAGGCTATCCACGAATCGATCCAATTTTTAGTATCTTCATACGATGTAAAGCGCTTCTTAGACAGGCCATGTGCTATCGACCGGAACAAGTGATAATCGGAAGAGGCAATGTCTGGTGAATACGGCGGGTGGGGTAGGACTTCCCAATTAAGTATTTCCAAATTCCAAAAGTTTTGACCGGTTTTGCAACATGTGGCCGAGCGTTTTGTCATGTAGGAGAATAATTTTGTCGTGTCAGGAGTAGTAATGGGCGCGTTTTTCCTTGAGTGCTCGGCTCAATCTCATTAACTGTGTTCGGTAGAGAGCTCCAGTAATGGTTTGAGCAACTCATAATACACGACACCAAGCTGATCCCACCAAATGCACAGCATGAGTTTTTTTCCATGAATATTCGGTTTGGTTGTCGATGTTGAAGTCGATATTGGCCAGGTGGTCCCCATGATTTTTTCTTCTTTGGGTTATCGTAGTGGATCCATTTTTCATCACCAGTGACTATACGATGTAAAAAACCCTTCCTTTTATGCCTGGCAAGCAGGATTTCATACGTGCAAAATCGGCGTTCAACGTCTCTCGGCTTCAGTTCATATGGAACTCAATTTCCTTGTTTTTGAATCATTCCCAACGATTTTAAACGATGTGAAATTGCTTGTTGAGTCAGTTCTAATGTAAGTGCAAGTTCTTCTTGCGTTTGGCACGAATCTTTCTCCAACAATGCTTCCAATTCCGTGTCTTCGTACACTTTCGGCCTTCCACTACGTTCTTTGTCTTCCACGTCAAACTCACCATTTTTAAACTTTTGAAACCACTCATGACAACTTCTCTCACTTAAAGCAGTTTCACCATATACTTCTACAAGCAATCAATGCGCCTCAGCTGCAGATTTCTTCAAATTAAAGAAGTAAATCAAAAGTTCCCGCAAATGACGCTTATTCGACACAAAACTTGACATTTTCGCACGAAAAAAATTATGTGATGCTGATACAGAGTCACTAATACTTCAAGGTTATGTTGTTACCACATGTCCAAACTTACGATATTACGTTTTACATCTGACAATTTCAACATAACCTTCTGGTGGGGTCATCTTTTGTCAAACGGCGGAAACTTATTTGTACTTCTAATATATTGAAATATATTATAAATTGTTGATTATAACAAAACTCCTGTAACATCCCGTTTCATACTAAAAATTTTATGAAACAATATACCTAAGACTACATAAATCTGTTTACATCACGTGCGCCTAAGTGCGCCTTTACGAAATATTTGTTGTTAAAGATGCACAAACGTATATCACGAAAGAAGGAGAAATTTCAAGCATTCGACAAAACAAATATTATATAAAAATGAGAATCAAAAATAAAATATATCTATTAAAAAAAAAAAACAAGTTTTTTTGTTTTATTTTTGTAATTTTGCTTATAACTTATTGTGTTGATTTTTTGTGACTAAATCAGAAAATTATTCATATCGTTAGGTCTTTAGAACTACACTATATATAAAATAAGTCATGGATGAAAATTACTTATGAAGGAACTTTCTTATTCATTGTATAAAATATATAATATGTAATAACTGTGGAGCCCATGTGTTAAAGAGGACACCCTATATATAAAGTAAAAAATTTTATGTTAACCTATTAGAGCCCATAGCTAACTCTGCTGGGATATCATCTAAATAACATATGGAATCCTCTAGTATGATAAAAATAACAAATTCGACGGAAAAAAGTTGCAAAAAGAATTTATTTATAACAAAATTGTTTAAACAATTTATTTAAAAAATGATTGTGTTGAAAATCTGATGCTGCCAAGCGATTTCGCTTTGAAAATTAGGTAAAAAACAATCATTTTTTAAAATAAGTTGTTTAAACAATTTTGTTATAAACAAATTATATTTGCAATTTTTTCCGCCGAATTTGTTATTTTTATCATACTAGAGGACTCCATATGTCATTTAAGTAATATTCCAGCTAAGTTAGCCATAGCCTTTAACGGGTTAGAAAAGAAGATGATTAATATCGAAAGAATATTTTCAAGTTAGAGTTAACTCCAAAGAGAAGAATTGTATGATTTTCATGCATACTTTTATTTTCGCTGAAATATTTATATTGAGTTCCACTTAACGCTTGCAACAATCGCGGCGTCATTCTTGTTTAATATCTAGCAAAAAACAATGGTAGAATGACGCTTCGATCGTTGCAAGCGCTAAGTGGAACGCACTGTTAGTATGAGACACTAACACTTCCAACGGGATAGAGCTCTTGTCTTTTGTTTCGTGCCTGATATGCTTTTTCAATCATCGACCACTGTTGCGACGCGCATTAAGAGGCACGATAGTCAATCGCACAATATATTACACATCTTCGCGCTCAGGCATTCACGTGATTTGACACACGAAAAGAACACAGTCTTTTCATCGAAGCCTCGACAAAGCAAAAAGGAATATATAAAAGCAAAAAAAAGAATAATAAAATAAAAAAACATAAAAAGATATAAAATATATAATAATAAATAAAAATAAACTTAATAACATATTATAAATATATAATAACAACGTATTTTAACAGTATATATATTATATAAAGAAAAACGGCTCAATGTCCGAGAATCGCTATATTTCACCACACTGTGGCGGCAGTTCGCTTCGCAGTAGCGCTGAACGGTCAAGGTGTATACATTGTGCATGGACAGTCTTTTGCATTCGGGTTCATATTTTACGCCTGAACAACGCCGCTTTAACGTGCTTTTGGAAGAAAAGGGAAGATACTCCTTCCGTCAAATAATTTGTGTGGCGGTCACAATTGGTGCTACTATCCACAAACTATTATAGTTCGCGAATGCCGCTAGCTGTAACTGCCGATCGTTTTTGCGGATTACATCATGGATGTTGACTATAATCGGCGTTAGGAGCGAAAAGGTTAAATAGATTCATTGACAAAGTCTTAAGAACGACGCAAGGAATAAGAAGTAATAAAATAAATATAATTCCGACCAAAAGAAGGCGATTAAAAGAAGTGAAAGAATGATGCTACCTAGTAATAAATATTTTTGTAAATTATAGAAAATATTTTTATTTTATAGAAAATACATTTTAACACTTAATAAATTATTTATTTAGTAAAAAGAAATATTTTTTTTAAATAAATAAACTAATTTATATTAAAACACAAATGCGCTCACAATTGCATGCAAACGAATGGAAGAAGAGGAGTTATTAAAATTTAACAAAATTTTCTTTTTTTGATACATTTTTTCTCACTGTATAAATGGTTTCAAAACAACTCAGACACTTTCTTTGCGATGCAGTTCGCAACGCAGCTATCTGTTCGAAAAAAATTATTTATTAATTCCCACGAGTTAAGTTCTTTTATTAAACTATCGGCTATGTTTCAAGCAAAGTATCGACAGCAAAGTTCAATTTATTCAGTTATTAAATATACATGTACAAGTTTGCAAATGAGTTTCATAGAAACTGCTTATAAAAAGGAAAGAATTAAAATAATTGAAATATGACTTGCAGGTAGCATGGATATTATTGCAATCTGCGCTGACTGTGGGAGTGTTAAAAAACGGATTTTTCCACAAGTATCAATTGCCCTCGCTGAAAAAATTAATTATAGGCGGCGCATTCATGAGACCACAGTTGCACGAGGCAGTGATCAAGGCCTTACCGCAGACAGAAGTCTTATTCACTTACGGTGAGAGTAAAAGGCCAAATGCGTATTATTTGTAATTGAAATACAAAGATAAATAAGCACATATCAAGATAACAATTAAAGAATATAAATATTCAAGCGAACGAGAAAACATTAGTCACGCATATGTTTAATAAGTAAGGCATGCGGATGTTGTGAATAATGTTTCTTACGCGATGGTTCTAATATCTTGTATCGATTTTCATTACGGATTGCCGATAATTGCAGGCACGAGTGAGGTCGGCGGAGTTTGCACTCTCCAAAGACAGGGTGATAAGATAGGCTCCAGCGGCTACGTGCTGAGAAACGGCCGATTGAAAGTGATCGCTGTTGATACCGAACGACCTCTGGGCCCCTATGAAGTTGGCGAACTGCTGTGGAAGTCGCCGTACACAATGACAGGATATTACAATAATCCTCAAGCCTCGAGAGAAACTTTGGATAAAGACGGTGTGTTTTTGCGCGATTATGCGCTGAGAGAAACGACGACAGTTCGTTTTGCACGAACCGGTTTTATTTATTTACATCGGAATCAGATATACATTCGTAATTTTCATTTTGCCTGATCATTAACTTAGAAGCGGAGCGCATTAAAATGCATTTAAGGCTAGCATGAGATATAAAACTTGTATTTTGTAATATCTGTTTTGTGATACTTAACATGAATTTAAAGAAAAATCGACAACACGAACATTTTTCTCAAATTTTTTATTGATGTAAATAAATCAATGTCACTGCTTTTAATATATATAATGAAATTTATATAATAAAATTTCTCTCTGTAATAACAAACTTTCTGAATCATATAGTAATGACGCGTATGATGATATGGAATGTTTAATATAAATATTTAATATAACATTTAATATAAATATTAATATATATTTACATGTGTTTTTCTCAGGTTGGGTACACAGCGGCGATCTCGGCTATTACGACAAAGATGGTGAAATATATATATGTGATCGCATTAAGGAAGTGATCAAAGTCCGAGGATGCTTCGTGTTTCCTACCGAGATTGAAAACATCTTACAGAGTCATCCAGCGGTATACGAGGTAGCCGTAGTACGTTTGCACAGCGACATCGACGACGAACACCCATTGGCTTTCGTAACGAAAGTCCCCGGTAAGGAGGTACGTGTTCCTATGCTACTATTACTAATATCTTTCAGAGGGAAACATTATATCGATATACACTCGAATGGAAGCAAGCGTAGGGCAAGTAACGCGATTGTGTGTAACAGCAATTTTTCTTCTTAATCTTTTTATTGATCATATTTCATTGAGAAGATAAGAAAGTTTAACGAGTGTATAAATAAAAGAAGGTGAGCTATATGAAAAATTATAGTTTGCGGATTTAGATTTCTTAAACAGAGTTGATAAAGTTTGCCTTGCAGGTGACAGCGGATGAACTGATTAAATTAGTGGCGAACAATTTGGAGGATCACAAGCATCTTCGTGGTGGTGTGCAGTTTTTAGACGAGCTTCCGCATACGGATACCGGTAAGATCGCAAGAAAACAACTGTTAGAATTGGCCAAACGCTTCGTGCTCGATGACGTATCAACAGAATATACCAAATAATTAAAAAGACGTAAAAGTAAAGAAAAGAAGCATCTAATATACTTGTAAGTAAAATTAAGATATCAAAATAAAATATCGTTGTTTAAACTTATATTTTTTACAAAAAGAATCATATCGCGAAATTAGATCATGCGCCAATAATTTTTGCAAAAACAACAGTATTGCACTAATATGCATCAATATAAAATATTGCATCAGTTAGAAGTAAAAAAGCTACGTATTAGAAATAATATTTTATGTACAAACATAAAAAACTTGTGAACGTGTATCAAATGTTTTGACTCATTTTTAAACTTTAATAATCAAAAGTTTTGAGAAAATATTTATTCAATAGTAGAAGCATCTATATGTAACATCTTGTCTATACTCATAGCAATTTTTATTCATTATTGATATTTAATTTAGATATTATATATAAGTTATTAATAATTATTATAAAATATGATACAAATATATAATATTTATTATTGAATATAATACGAGTATCATAAACTTTATAATCCGTAAGATTATTTTGTGTTATAAAGCCTTAATCTCTATTTTCATTAACATTGTAAATTCAATAATATTTGTGAAAATAAATAAAAATAAACTTATTTTAGTCGGGTACTTAATTGGGCATATAAAAACGTTCAACGAGGTTTATTTGCAGATACAAATCTTAGATCACATGAGCAGCTTCCTTTCTCTCCCGTCCACCGACTACTTCCTTCCTCTCTTCCCCTCTACACTCCTTCTACACTCCCTCTACCCTGACACCATTTACCGCTTCTAGGTTTCTAATACAATCCCTCTTACTACATTATGATATAAATAGAACGCATTAACATCATTAATATCTTTAAATTTATATTATAGTTATAATATAATATAATATGTAATATAATATAATATAATATATTATTATATTAATAAAAATACAACTTTTTTAACAATTCCATCACTTTTATCAATAGAATGGTAGTTATTGTCTTCAACATTTTTTAATAAATTATTGTTTCGCACCGTCTGTAATCTACGTCTTTAGACATATAATGTATGCGACAGTAATGAGAGAAATTAAAACCTTACAAGGGAATGGTCACAACTGTCTAATTCTGACTTTGTTCTCCTTGAAATATGTTGTTGAACATAAAAAATTAAGATTTACGATTTTTTTATATAACATATATGTCCAAATTTACTTCTAAAAAGTAAAACACTTGACAGATAATTTAATACATCTTATTTTGAAGGAATTACTTCGAAACCGTGAAAAACAGAAAACAAGTATTTTAAATGAAAATTTAAATAATTAGCGTTTTTGAAAAAAGTAAAATCAAATCTTGCAATAATTTAATATTTAAAACAATATCCTCCCATTATCATAAACTTAACAAATCTTAATAAAAATAATTTATGTGTGTATATTTATAAAGCAATTTTAATATTAAATATATCGTTATAATACCGTTATAATATATCCTAATTTAATAATATCTCAAATATTATTAAAGTGCGCTATATTACAATGATATAATATATTCTATCTGCTGTAATATATCATGATTTTATATTGTTCTAAGTATTATTAAAGCATACATCATAACGAGAAAGAGTACAGCATTATAATAAAAAAGTACATTGTGATAAATATACCGCTATGATTTAATAATAATTTGAGATGTTACAAAAGCACAGCATATGTATGCTTTGATTTGCCTTTACAATACTATTGATTGTGATCTGTAAAGTATTAATAATTTATTTTTAGTATTTTTATATTTTTATAGTCCAACATAAATTATACAATTATGTATGATCCATAATTTCTGTATGATTACGTAATCCATCATTACATAATGTTGTAATTACTTGAATGTTTCGTCTGTTGATGCATTTTATTATTCGTTTGCGTTGTAGTAATTACTTTTTCTCGATATCTTAGTTCACGCAATTCACGTAGTTTACGACTTCGTGCTGTAAGTCTATTAAAAAACTTGCGAGTCGTGAATAACATAACTGTAAGGCCGGGATTACAATGAACTTCACGTAATGGGACGCGACGGGACGTGAAGTTCATCGTAACCCCGGCCTTAGTTATATATGATATAACTGCATTAAGCAATTATTAAGAGTTTAAAAGTATAAAAGTCTAAAATAGAGAAATGAATTATCGATATTCTAACTAGTAATTGTAACTGCAGTGACGTTATAAGCGACGAACAATTCGAGAAAAACGTTTATCTAGAAGAGAGGAGATTTTTACGATCGTGATCTTTTTTCGAACCTTCGGATTGATAAATGTTCTTTGATCTTTCCCATTCGAAAATTTGAATTGAATATAGCATGGCAAATAACTGATCTTATCGTGATTATAATCACAAGAGAGATAAATAACTGTATTTATACAATTTAACATATTTATGTCATAAATGTCAAATTATAAATTTCTCCTAAACATTGAGTTACTATCGCAGAAATGTAGAAGCTGAAAACAAAATAAAAATCTGAAGGATTTAAAAGTGTAACTATAGTACTAAGGCGATCATTATAACGTCAGAAATTGGACAGTTACAACATTTGAGTCACAAGGGAAATTCGTCAACAAAATTTTGGCCGGAAAGAGAGAAACTTCTATATATATATATTGCTGCTATAAATATTGAACGTATCAAACGTAAATAGTAACAAGCGCTATAGAGAGAGAGGTGGTAGTCTAAGTCTTTTCCTTAGGTCAACTACGCTTCATACGTTAGTCGTGGATTGGTGTTCAAAGAATCCACAACTCGTCTCTTCCACTCGCGAAAATTTATTTCTCGTCGCAAATCTTTATTTAAATTTTGAGAGATTCTCTTATTTGTACAGTGTCACAGACCAATCACGGTTCGATAATTCAGTCTCGATCAGTAATATTGTATAAACGAGAGTTTCAATTATACAGGTGAATATACTTTTATTTTATATTATTGACATACACTAGAATTTCGTTATTTTATTTTATTTGGTAGCTTACGAGAACCAATAGTACTCACAAATATTTATCAATGACCTGTTGACGGGAACACATTCGAGGGCAGAAGTTCATTATGCGTAAAATTTCTCAAACAGTGTTTATAATATATTCAGATGATTTAAAATACGAGAAAAGCTCAAATTTTATCGATCTAATCTGTAATTAATAGTCTTAATGACGAGATAACTATGTATATATGCGCTTATTTGAAATATTACATATATAATCATATTAATATTCTTAAGTTGAAAGAACTAGAGACGTTAGATCTCTGGTCGATCAGTTAGCCGACACAAAAAATTCTCTTTAAAGACTGAAGGCCCTAACAACATAATTAATTTTGATTGCGACAAAACTTTTCCAGCATGTTACATTTCATTGTTATAATATGTCAAAGTATACGAAAACAGCCCTTTTTTGTTTTAACTTTAACTGCAAATTTCTCAAAATTGTGACATGATAGAATTTGAAAACCGTATTCGTATTCGTATTCAGAATACTACAAAAAATAACTAAACTCGTTCTTATGTTCGAAAAAGAGTAATTTTTGTCAAACTATACATTGTTACAATATGATAACAAGTTGTAAGTATATTTAACTAGGTTATCGCTTATCTATGACTTTTATCTTTTTCCACTTTTTGAAATTATTGGATGTGTGAATATGACTCCGCTCTTTCCCAACAGATGTTGCTTTTAGTATCGTTAACGTGTACTAATAACTGGCAACACTTGTATTCGATAGTACTTCATGTCAACTTTCAAACGCACTACGTGAAATTTGGTTTAAGTGTAAGCAATAAGTGTTTTACCCTACTTGGAAATGTCGGTTTTCGTTCCAAACAAACATTATTTGCGGGAAGTATTATTACACTATTTTATTGCAAAGAAAAGTGCAGCGGAAACTTATCGTTTGCTTGTGGAGATTTACGGTGATCATGCTCCATCTAATACAACTTGTAAGGAATGGTTTCGACGATTTCAAAATAATGATTTTGGAACTGAGGACAGAGAACATGGGAAACCACCAAAAAAATTCGAAGATGCTGAATTGGAAGCATTATTGACAGAGGATTGTTGCCAAACTATTAAGGGAGAAGTTTACCGACGACAACTAATGCGTTTGAAGCGAGCCATAGAAGAAAAACGGCCAGAATGGGTGAATAGGCACAGCAAATTAATTCTTCAGCATGATAATGCCAAACCGCATACCGCAGAAGTCGTGAAAAGATATTTAGATGGACAGGACTGGGAAGTGCTACGCCACCCGCCATATTCGCCAGACATAGCTCCTTCAGATTACTACTTATTCTGGACGATGCAGTCAGATCTTACAGGAGAACGGTTCACTTCATACGAAAATATCAAAATTTGGCTTGATAATTAGATCAGCTCAAAAGACCAGGACTTCTTCAGGCAAGGAATACATAAATTACCTGAAAGATGGGCGAAGGTTGTAGTTGCAGATGGAGCATACTTTCAAAAAACTTTTCTTTAATTTTCTAAACAAGCAAATGTGTTTTATTTTAACAAAAAAGGGCGGAGTTATATTTACACACCCAATAATATGCATATATTCAGGCGAAGCAATTCGGAAGTGGGCGACATAAATTTCTTTGTTTACAAAGGAGATAAGTTTTTTTTAGATTTTCTTCTATGTCCGAATTATTCAAGCAGTTGATTCTGGAAATTGAACGAATCGGTCGACCTTATCAAAATTAATTGAATTCGAAGCTCTTCAAACAAGCTCAAATGCATCTGAAGAAGCCTCGAATTTCTCCAACAATTTATCGATCTCTCATGGTCGACCGACCATAAAAGAAGGAGGGCGTACTAGGTGGCGACGGGAAGCCGCCGTGCATTCGGAACTTGCACCTTATTTTCGTTCCGAAGAGAGAAAAATATCGAGAGTGCGGTAGTTTCGCTAGACCGGGAATAGAACCAGGGTCTTTCGCTTGCCAAGCGACTGCTCTATCTAGACAACTGAGCTACTTGACGCTCCACGCTCCACGCTCACGACGCTCTCCTCTCCCTAGATAACGTTAACAGATGTCATTCGGAAGCGACATCTCTAGTGCTATTCCGAACGCACGGCGACTACAGAGAGAGAATTTGATAAAACAAATAAATATTTCGTCTATCTTGTACTTTCTTTCATTTCATCCATACTTCGTAAACAAATGATCAATATCAATTTAATAAATCAGAAATTAATATATTCGTTTAATTTTCAAAACGTTCTTTTAATAGAGTGATATTTTCGAATAACGGCACACTATTTGGACGATTGTCTTTTACTCTATTCTATTACATTTACTGATTTACTGAAAACGTTTATCGAAACTTAAAAGCAAGTGAATTCACAGTGAAATGGTAACGGACAAACCAGAGGTAAGAATGTCCTTGACACCGTATTCCCGACAAGATAATTTAGAAAGACTTTTAAATAGAGATATCGTAAATATTGAAACGTAGTAAGCAGAGAGCAAACTTTTTTTTGTATTACGAAATTAATGGTATATTAAATGTTTAATTGAATGGACAGCCCGACTTCACGGTGGAAAATAATATTTACATAGGACAAAAAAGGGCGTATTCCGACACTTGTAAAAGCATCGGAGAACTAATTTGGAAAAGAATTGACAGCTTTAGTGATAAAGATGCACAGGTTAGTTCATATTTATTCAATGTATCACTACATACCCTCGCACATCTAACGTCACGTTGCGTATGATAATTTCCAACTGTGACCTTTTCGGGCTATTAAAACTTAAGATCTCTTCAGAAGAACAGTTTTCGAATAGAAAAGATTCAAATTTCGGACCTTTGTTATTTTAAATTAAAAATTGCATATTGGTAACCTACAGAACGTTGTACGAAAAATGACGAAGTAAAATGATTATATTATGTTGTTACATCACACGCGCGATCCTCGACGATTTGAGAAAAATGTTAGGCATTTCAAAAAACAAATCTACCTGTCGCCATACCCATTTATTACTATATTATGGTGAAAGTGGAAGAATATCTTGTAGTCATCATTATTAGTGAATTTCCGGCAATGCGTGTTTTATTAGAGAGAGAAGTCTATGTATCTAGAGACAGAATTGATTTAAATAGAATAATTGAAGAAGTGACATGTCGAAGATGTAACTGTAAAATTTTTCGAAAATTAAGGGGACTTTCTTTTCAAAATTTTACATAAAAATACGACAATTTCTCATTAATAAGGAAAATAATTTTACAGATATCGCGTTGATTATGTCATAAAACATTATCAGAAAATACTAATTATACAGATTATACAATGTTACCTAATAAAGCTATCAAAAATCGTTTTATAATTGTACATTTATTAACATATATATTCAGATTCTTTGACCGTCACTGTGCTTAATTTCTTATTTATCTCTTATTTATCTCTATCTGATGATTGCTTCTTCTAAATTATATATGTGATAAACACGTGTTTGAAATTCATCTTTCTTACGCTTCGTATATTCAAATTTTTCCGGTGAGATAATAACATTATTTTTGCCTATTTGGTTTCGATTCCACAAAAGCACACGATGTTAAATCGTGTATAGTTATTTACATTTCCAAGTGAATGAAATTTGTAATTTTCGTAGGCAAAAGCATTAAGTTCGACATTTTGACATAGAAATTTGATGTGGAATCTCTCAAATATCTGTATTCAGTATTTAATAAATATTTCCAAACTATTATTGGATAATAATTTTTCAAATATAGAAAGAAAATATGTCTCGAAAATTAAAGGAGATTCTTTTTCAAAATTTCACAGAAAATTCGATGCGTTTCAAATATCGTACATATGTTTAAGAAACATTGTTTTGAATTATTAACTAACGGAATTCCGAATTTTGTATCAAATTTATTTTTAATAACATTGTAACCGAGAGAACTATAAGAATTTAAGAGAAATACATATGGTCGCATCGATGTTGCATAAACATCGACGTAATGACATATTTCCCGTTTTACGACACGTGATCGTTTATGTTTCTTTCTTTACTACCGAAAATGATTTGAGTTTCAGCTCGTGACAGAGAAACGCTCTCTCGAGACTGCAAAGAAATTCAACAAATGACAATCGACAATTAAAAAATTATTCCAAAATCACAAGCATGTTATTACAACCGGAAAATCCGCGATGGAGCGAACATATCCAGCAGCCTGGAGACATTCGTGACACAACTGATAATTTTTTGCTTTGCAGATCGATGCATGCACAGAAGAACTGGTTACGTATAAGGAACTCCAGAGAAAAATTACAAAGTGCGCCATTTGGCTGCAGGAACAGGAAATTAAACCAGACGATATAATTAGTGTGTGCACGCATAACCAGATAAATGCTTTCGTGCCGTGTCTCGCAGCGAGTTATATCAATGCTATCTTCAACTCATGGGATGAGAACATGAATTTGCGTGAGTCTTCCTGCAATTCTCAGAAAAAAAAACAATTCGATTCTGGTGATGGAACGCGAATAATGTCATCATTGTTACATGCCGCTTCGTTCAATTTTATTTCGTTGTTTGATCAAGTGTTATTCACATATCACAGGTCACAAGACGTTAATAGTAATGTTATAAATATTTTTGTTTGTCAAAATTCAAATTTACGTGCAGCCACATTCGTATTTTACTTCTACTTTAAAACCGGAGCCCTTATATTTTTGACTGCTAAACTATATTCTTCTTTTTTATATTCCTTGCGTTTTAAAATGCAAGTCACTCAATGCAGAGAATATGGCACATGACGATAAAATAATACAGCTAACATTTACCTCTGATCTCTGATCTCTGATCTGACATCTGTCTGATCTCTGATCGCATTGCTATCAATCTACTGCTATTTTTCGGCAGATATGATTACAAACGAGCAATCCTCTTCAGAAGCATATTAGTTTTCTTTGGACTTTTTTTCTGTCTTTCTCTATTTCGCTTCTTTTTGTCTAAAATCTTTTCTATATATCGTGATAAAAATTAAATGTTCGTAGCTTTTGAAATTTTGGGACACCGTTATGATTTTAAATAGCTTTGTCCCGTTAGAATAACTCAGGTAGAATTACACTTTTTGGCCGATTTCCTTATTACTATTGCTATTCCTTTTGTTTCGCAGGAACTAGGCTACTCGTGGAGATATAAAACGTTATTAAAACGATATTGGTTGAAAATCGTACGGGGCTTTGATGTATATTACCCCACGTATTGTGTTCATTGTTTACAAAGTAAACAGAATTAATATTATTATTGCCGTTATTGCTGTTATTATTGCAGTTAGTAATAGTAGTAGTATGTTATAAAATTGAGAAACAATACTATAATGGAACACATAATAGTATGTTAATTTATATATATATATATGTTTTTTATATAAATTTCAAAATTTTTCCCTTTCCCTTTCAAGGGTTGTGTATAAACAATTATTATATTTTATTATATAATTATATATTTTACGTTATAACATACTATATAATAATAATAACTCTGTACATATTTTGCAAATACATGGCGTGCGAAATGTTACACCCATCGTCGATGGGTTGTGATATTTCTTATTAAGTGAGGGTTGAATAGATTCAAGTTAAGTGATCGAAATTGAATTCTATGAGGGGGGCTGGGCGAGAAGTTCATCTTTCCAATATGATAGCTGAGCAAGATTTGCCAACGCTGTAATAACTCCTTTGTTGTATCGGTATGATTCATACAAACTTTATAGAATACAAACTTTGTGGAATAGCGTCTAAAGTTTTATAACGTTTTATATGTTTTATAACGTCTTAATCTTAATTTAAGGTGGATAATTCCGAACGGTCATATGTATATCCGCCATGGTGTGTCTGTTATTTATTTAAATGCATATCCCGATCTGTCTTTTGGAACCGAATTATAAGAAGGTAAACAGTGGGGTTAAAATTTACGAATTTATCGAGGAATACAATATAGCTCCAAACATCTCAGAAAGGAATACGTTACGTTGCGGTACGTAATAGGACCGACGTGCATCAAATCCTCGTGTGATTTTCTAAGCTAATATTATCCCTGTGGTGTGATTCTGTAATTCGTTATTGGAGTTAACGAAACTGTCATTAACTCCAATAACGAGTTAAAGAATCGCACTGCTGAGCTCTTACGTATCCCTGAGTTCAAACGTCTACAAGCAAACTAGATATTACGAAACGAGAGGAATGGCGATGGTAATAAAAGAAACCGACCCGAATATTTAAGTCAAATGGAAGTCGCAAGCAGAATCTTGCGTGACTATTTCAGATCATACGCCTTTGTATTCAAATCGCTTCTTCTCTCTCATTTCCTTTGTATCCCTCTCAAAATTTCATAGAGACATTCTTACATATAATATATATATATGTAAAATATAATTATAAATATAATATGTATAATACATATAATATATATAAATAAAAATATATACATAATATAAAAAAAAATATATATATTTTTTTAGAATATTAAAATTAGGAAAATTAAAAGAATTGTAAAACATTTTTAAAATTATTCTTTCTTTAATTGAATTTCGCTTAAAATTATTTTATACATGTAGTCAGCAATTAATTGATATCACTGAAGTATTGTGTTATGTTATTTAATTGAATCATCATTACAATCATTCGTAGCCTGCGTATGTTCTCTACGATAAATTTCCGATTACATTTAAACTCTTAAATTACCTGAAATCTCAAGCTTAATCATTAACTCGCCAACTTATTAACTCCAAAAGCAACTTTCGAATTTAATTAGCTTCGAAAACCCAATTTGCTTAATGGAAGTTTATCGTGGAGGAAAATGAATTTGAGTCAACTCGAAGCGTTTGTCCGATCTAACGTTTCGTCATTCCACAGAAACTGCGCTGCATGTGATGCAAATGACTATGCCGAAGGTGATCTTCTGCAACGAGAAATCCGTAGGCGTGGTGCTGCAGGCAGTGCGCGAAAAGAATTACAAGCCCAAGGTGGTGGTCTTCGGCAACCACCCCGACGCAGTTTCGTTCGCGAGGATTTTGAGCAGCTACAGCGATGCGCAAGCGGCGCGCTTCCGTTACGTCGAGAATGACAATATCAGGAAAACGTCGTGCATCTTGCATTCATCCGGTACCACGGGAATACCGAAGGCCATCGAGTTGTCCAATTACTCTATGCTGTCATTGAATGAAGAGAGCAAGATCAATATGAACGAGACGGTAACGCTTTGGTTCTCCTCGATTTACTGGGTCAGTGGTATATTGTTGAACCTGAAGGCGATTAGTCAAGGTGCCAAGGTGATCGTCTATCCGAAATTTGACGAAGAGATGACGTGTATCTTAATCGAGAAGTATAAGGTAAGACGAATGTGAGGAAACTCACCGAGACCGTTCGTATCGCGATGTAGACGCGTTAACTATCCACTAATAACTAACCATTAATAATAATCAACTGTTAATAATGACCAAGTATATAACGTTAATAATAACCAAATATTAATGATAACCAACAAGTTCCGCGGGCAAATTTGTTTCTTCGTTTGTTTTCCACAATTGTCGTGCAATTGCTGTTCTTCTTATGAATTTTGTTTCGAACCTTACGTAAATCACATGTCGACTTATCTAAGCGCTCCTACGACTTAATCGAAATTGAAATTAGTTCATTATGCAAATTATATTCTCGGATAAAATGTTGCTATTCATGATGTATATAAATGTGATGTACGATGTAATAACAAATCGCGATAATAGGCAACTAAGTTGCGACTTGCATCTTCGATGAATTTTTTATTATACACTTACAGACACGTTATGCTCGGTCCACGAGTTTTATATCCAATAAATCGGTAATCTCAACGTGAAATTACATTTGTAATAAAATACATTGAAAACCCATCTTGCTATTCAGGTGACGTGGCTGTTCATAGGAACTAGCATGACAAATCGATTCCTCAAAGCCGGTTACGTAAAGAATTATTCTTTATCTACCTTGAAAATTATCTTCTGTAGCGGTGCTATCCTCAAGCCGGAATCACAGAAGGAACTGAAAAGACTTCTGCCGCACGTCGACATACTGCAGGCTTACGGTAGATATCGTACCGACGATACGTACGATGGATTGTCACAAACGCGACATCAAAATTTCAAAATGATTTATCGTCATTTATCAAAATATCAAAATATCAAAATTTCAAAATTTATCAAAATATCAAAATTATTTATTATCGGAAGAGAAGTTTGACCGCTATTTTATCTCGCGTTTTTAGGAATGACGGAACTGGGTGGAATAGCAACGTGCCAGATGCCGCACCACAAGCTCGGTTCTTGTGGATCTGTAGTGCCGAATATGCAAATAAAGATCGTAGATCCAGAGAGCGGAAAGACTCTCGGCTCGAACGAAATGGGAGAGCTGTGGGCGAAATCGGAAAATATAATGACTGGTTATTACAGAAATCCCGAGGCGACAAAAAGCACGATTGACAAGGAAGGTAGTGAAAAGTTTTATTTCTTGTGTGACTTGTGACGTCATATAAATTGACAAATATGAACGAAGCGGAAGAATTATCTACACCTAATATATAAACTAGATGGATTTGCCAAATTACAAATTAACTCTGTTTCTCTCCATGAAAATGATTGAAATAAATTCGAATTTCTTCCAGGATGGTTGCACTCGGGTGATCTTTGCTACATCGATGAGAATGGCGAGGTATTCGTGGTCGACAGGCTGAAAGAGCTCATAAAATACAGAGGATATCAAATCTCACCTGCGGAGATAGAAGATTTTCTACTAACACATCCAGCAGTGTTAGAAATTGCGGTGGTAGCAGTGCCTCATTCGACGGACGATGAACATCCTATAGCTTACGTCACCAAGAAACACGGAGCTACGGTATTATCCAAATTTTTCAATGTGCTCACAAAAATTATTTTGCAAAATATGAAATTTGATATATAAACTCTCGTTGGTTGGCTTTAACACATACGCAGAGAGAGAAAAGAATGTTTGGTTGAACGAAGCAATTTTTATGATAAAATATGAACAATACAGAAGTTCCGGTTGAAGTTATAAGAATTCAGGATAAATTATCAAGATTTCTGATTAAATTTAGACAGAATTCTAATATTTCCAATTGTGATTTCTGAATTGCTGATATTTTATGGAAAATTAGTTTACTCTACTAAACACTTCTCTCCGTGTGTACAGGATGATTCATATAAAGTGACCTATTTAATTATTTACAAAAGTGGAAGACATGAAAAATAGTTCATACCAACTTGTTCAGTATAAAAGAAAACGTCGTATGATGAAAATGATTATGTTATAGGCAGAAACCTTGAAGACATTTCAACGTCAACTTTATTTTTTTAATGGTGAATTTGATATTTCTTTTTATTTTTTTTACTTTTTAACATATGATGGCCCTTTTTAAGACAAGTTCAATGATATATTATTATAATATGATTATTCAACTTCGTTACTCTGATTACTTTATATAAGACAGACCGTGGTGCGGCATACAGTAATCAAATTGCGTCTCTCCTGCAGGTAACAGAGCAAGAACTGATCGACTATGTGGCGAATAATATGATGGACCATTTTAAACTTCGTGCCGGAGTAGTGTTCTTGGATAGTTTACCTTATACAGAATCAGGGAAAATTGCGAAAAAGGAATTAAGAGCATTGGCTAAGAAATTAGCGATTGAATGAAATATATTGAGGACATGAACTCTTGTTCATGTCATCAAAATTACAGATATTTATGCGATTAAAAAGGGGACAAATGTGACAGATAATTGTTTTATAATTTAAGAAATTATGATTTATGTATATATATATATATGTATATATATATAGGTGTACAAATGAATAATCCAAATTATTTTAAGCAGTTATGACATCAATTTTAAATTGAATAGATTTTCCCGCTCTTTTGTGATTATGCAATGTTGACATATAGCTGTTGAAAAGAACATATTGTTTGGCGAAAGGCCCAACATAACCTTCAAAAGTATTCAGTTCAGTACAGTCGAAAATGGCAACAGATAAGGTGCATATCCGACACTGCATTCTTTACGAATTCCAATAAGAAAAAAATGCTGCAAGAGCGTGCGAATCGATTTGTTCCTTTCTCGGCGAAGGTGTTATATCGTACGATGTGTGCGCATTTTGGTTTAAGCGGTTTAAAAGCGGTAATTTCAGTCTAATCGACAAATAACGCCCTGGAGGCCCTCCGAAGTGCGATAATGATGATTTGGAACAACTGCTCGCTGAGAATGCGGCACAAACATAAAAAGAGCTTGCAGAACAGTTGGGAGTAACGTAGCAAATGATTTCCAAACGCCTACATGAGATGGGAAAGATCCAGAAAGAAGGAAAATGGGTGCCTAACTGCATGAACTTACTGAAACCAATAAAAATCAACGAGTGGCAGCGTATCTTTCTCTTCTCAATAAGCAGCGTCGAAAGTCTTTCTTGTAGAAAATCGTTACGGACGATGAGAAATGGATACTCTATAACAATCCGAAACGCAGAAAGTCATGGGTAAATCTCGGCGAATCATCAAAATCGGTCGCAAAACCCAATCGCTTCTGAAAGAAGGTTCTTTTCTGCATTTGGTGGGATATCAAGAGCGTGCTTTATTATAAGTTGTTGGAACCGGGTGAAACAGTTACTGCGGACTGCTACCAACGTCAATTAATCTGCTTGAGTCAAGAATTGGAACGAAAACGCCCGTATATTGGCAAGGGAGAACGTCCAGTGAAATTGTTGCATGACAACGCCAAGCCACACATTGCTTCCAGTACAAAAGACACCATAATGAGTCTTGGCTGGGACGTCTTGCAGCACGGCCGGCGTATTCACCAGACATTGCTCCATCCGATTATCACTTGTTCCGGTCGATGCAACACGCCTTGTCCGATATGCACTTTCAATCAGTGGATGAGATCCGAAAATGGCTTGACGACTTTATTGTGTCCAAAGACGTAACATTTTTCCGAGATGGAATTCATCAGCTGAAAGATGGCTTAAAGTTATAGAAAGCAACGGCGAATACTTTGATTGAACAATTTAATTTACTTTCTTTTAAAATAAACCTTGAATGTAGCTGAAAAAATTGGATTATTCATTTGTACACCTAATATATATATATATATATATATGTGAATATTCTATTTTCTTATTTTTAATATTTAGACATTAATACGGACAAAAAAAAGTTGGAAATTATTCTCGTTGATTTCTGTGCATTTCATGCATTGTAGAGTAGCAAAAACTAAAATATGCGCATTTCTATAATTATCTTTTTGTACTTTTGGGAGTTAAGCAACACTTAAAAATTAATTCTATATATTGATATATTGATATATTGATGATAAATATCCTAGTGAAAATAATAAGTTTCATGAGCGTTTGTTTAACGTCTATGTGAGCGTTTGCAAGAGAAGCAGTTCGTTAGAAGTTTAGAAACAGTCAGTAGGGAGTTTCTAGAGCGGAAATTGCAATGCTGCAGCGTTTGAAGGTGTGTTCTTCAGCATTGCAAAACTTTCATGAAACGTTATATACAGCATTTGATCGAAGCGTTCCGAAAGCGTTTGAAACCCAATGGCATTCTTATAAAGTTTAAAAGCGTATAAACTCTCAAGAAACTCTCATCGAACGATTGTCAACGCTTTATAAAGCTCCTTATTTTTGTCAGGATAAGCGTGCAGTGAGTTCTCTCTCCTCCTAAAACTCCAGCAACAGTTTTTCAATTTGACAATGTACAAGAAATCGCGTTTCCGAGTGATGAGTGAGTAATTTGATTTGAGTCACTTCTTCACAAGAAAGGTGCAGGGTTCTTTGTCAAAATGTTACACATATTAAAATTTTATTTCTTGTTGTCTTTGTTGGATTGCCTTTAAAATTCTTTTAAATTCTTCTTTGTTCATACCAGATAAGTGTCGATAAAATATATAATCCAAAAAACGTAATTTTTCACGACTGCGGAAAAAAAGAAGATCTCAATAAAACTGATCATGGGCATTAGTTGTGGATTAGAATATACACGATACTTTATTTCCTAATTCTCCTTTTCCATCTTTCAGCGGTAATTATCGAAAACATGAAGCGTGTCACTCTCCCGTTGCAAAATGTAATTTTATGCATATTTTTAACATATTAGCTCAAAATTACACATTTTCCAGCTGTGTCATTTTTCCATATGACGTGCGACATATTGCAGTGATATTAATTAGTGTCGCGAGTTTTATTATTAGGGAATATTAAGTTCTTTTGTCTTACTTGGAACAGCCATTAGAAAGTCTACGATCTTTTCCCCAGTAGGAACCATTTCTTCCGTTGGATGCAGGAAACCATATTTGTCACTATCGTCTATTTAGTAGCCTAAGACTAGCGACTTCTGGTACGTGTCCATGATATTGTGTCCAATACAATATAAGGGAATTACAAAACTACTATCTCTACACACACATATATATATATATATACATATATATACATATATATATATATATATGTATATATACAGTGTCCGGAATTTTTTGGAAATGAAAATTTGTGAAGATTAATCAGATCGAACTATAAGGAAAAGTCAAGTATTATTTTGCAAAAATCGCAATAGTTATTAAGTTATTAATGATTGAAATTTTGCGTACTTATTTGTAAAATGGTAAAGGGCACTTTTGTTCTGAATAACCTATTCTAAATTTATATGACGGCCATTGTGCCTAGCGACAGGTTTAAAATTCAGGGTTCAAAGTTCAATATATTTGTACCTATCACTAGACAGCCGTCATATGATTGTAGATCAAGTCATTCTGAACAAAAAATCCTTTGTCATTTTGTTTCTCGCGGTTCGACAACCGCCCTTTGGTTGTCACCGCCCAGTTGAACGAGAGAACATTGTTGACTTACCCTCTTGCGAAACAGGAGCATTCTAATCGTCACCACTGCTTCGTTCAATTTAAGTGCATCTGTGCATACGGCACCAACGATATGCATCCGGCAAGTTAATTGAGAAAAATCACTCATCGTGATAGATCAAGCGGAGAACGATCGTTTCGGATTTACTGTCTATCTATCTATTATTAGCTCCGAAAAATTAGTTCGAAAAAATCGCGTTATCACGCCGATTAATTTCTGCACTAGGCTTAATGTGGTGAAACCTGTTAACAATACCTATTCAATCTGGGTTTCGCAAACTGTATTTATGATAAATATCATAAATCGAATATCATAAGTCGAAGATATATCGAATATTTTGTGGATATTCCGAGTATTGCTGTATGCGCGCGAAATATTTTCAAAATATAGAAAAATATGAAACTTACCTTTATTTACCTTATTTTTTTTAAACAAAAAGCTAAAACTAAGCACACGCGCAATACGTATTGTGTTATTTTTAGAAATCTCAAACTCAAATTATTTTTCTTTTTCAAGATATATATGTACGTAACTTAAGTTTTTATAAGCGAAACTTATAACTATAATAAAACTCTACAAAACACTGTTCTATTGTACAAAAGAAGTGACATATTAAAACAGTAGCGCCAACTGAGAAACTCTACTCAACATCAACTCTGCAAATGAGAGCGATTTGCAATCTAAAGACAATAGTATCCAAAACACCTAATGACACATAGTCTTCGGATACTTCGGAAACAGTATCTTTATTATTTACTGGAACACTGAGTCATAGCCCGTGATGGTTATTTTATTTATTATTATAACAAATTAGTTGTACAATGCAATAAAACATATTTAATGCAAAAGATCTTGGCGCGGTATATTTTGGAAAGAAAAATAATTTGAATTTGGTATACATGAATCATGAAAAAAATAATTTGAGTTTGGAATTTCTAAAAGTAACACAATATGTGTTGCGCGTGTACTTAGCATTATTGTTTTTACCTTTTTGTTTAAAAAGGTAAGTTTTATATTTTTCTATATTATATGACTTTTCCACAGAGATGATGTAAAAAATCAAAAAGTGTTTATTTACAATGGCGTAATGAAAATAATCGTAAAACATAAGGCCAATGAGCAAAGAGATATAAGAGAAATATTAATATTGAAAGAAATTTTAAACATAGCGAGATATACGTACAAGCTTAATAGCAGTCACATTAGCAGCAGTGCATATTAGTGCAAAAATAACAGTATTGCACTAATATGTATCAATATAAAATATTGCATCAGTTAGAAGTAAAAAAGCTACGTATTAGAAATAATATTTTATGTACAAACATAAAAAACTTGTGAACGTGTATCAAATGTTTTGACTCATTTTGAAACTTTAATAATGAGAAGTTTCGAAAAAATATTTATTCAATAGTAGAAGCATCTATATGTAACATCTTGTCTATACTCATAGCAATTTTTATTCATTATTGATTTCATTTAGATATTATATATAAGTTATTAATAATTATTATTAAATATGAATTTATGAATAAGAGTATAATATTTATTATTGAGTATAATATAAGTATCATAAACTTTATAATCCGTAAGATTATTTTGCGCTATAAAGCCTTAATCTCTATTTTCATTAACATTGTAAATTCAATAATATTTGTAAAAATAAGTAAAAATAAATCTATGATATAAATAGAACACATTAATATCATTAACATCTTTAAATTTATATTATAGTTCTAATATAATATAATATAATGTAATATATTATAATATAATATAATATAATATAATATAATATAATGTAATATAATATAATATAATATAATATATTATTATATTAATAGAAACACAATTTTTTCAACAATTTCATCACTTTTATAAGAATAGAATGTTAGTTATAGTCTTCA